CCAGCTTAACAATTTAAAGCAATTACTGATAATTCCACATAGTCTTTTGTTAGTTGAAAATAGTTATCAGAGTTTTTTTATCATATACTTTTATTAAAAAAAAAATATGAGTGAATTATAAATTAATCAAAAAAGTGCTGATATATGTAAGTACAGTGAGGGTTTTTTACTAATAAAAAGCCAAATAATATACTTGTGTATATTTTTCGTATCGATATAATAAATGTAAATAATAATATTAATTCGTTATTTATTTTTATTTTTTATCATTTTAAAATAATATCCAAATAATATTTTCACGTGACGATAATAAAGAGTATTTTTGTTTTTATTATTCATTAAAAATGTTATATACCTATAGTAAGATAACTATACATACAGGGTACTGCGACATTCATGTTTGGATTATAGAGTTAATTATTTGATAATAAAGTAGACTAAACAAATTTTCAATTAAATTTTAATTGATTGTGCTGTGAGTGGATGTCAAAAAAGCAAAGTTGGCCAAACGAAAAAGTGACTCCATCCAACTTTACTTTTTTGAAATCTACAGTTTATTTAGAAAACGTCTCATTCGGAATGGTAAAAAGAAATATAGTATATTTCCTTGTGTTGTAGGAATTTATTAAAATTTAAATACAGGGATTTTTCGGTTTTTAGATTTTTAGATTTTTTGATTTTTTGATTTCTCGATTTTTCGATTTTCTTTTATTGACTAAATGAGAAGTTAATATTGTTTAACGCCGCACCGCTGTGCCGGTCGGAGTGGGGGGTGTTAGGTTTTTTTTCGTTACGGTCGTTACGGAATTTCTTGATTCGGTCGTCGCACTCAAAGCCCGCGATAAAAGCTATGCAATAGCTTAAAGAAATATAATGGAAGTGGACTGAAAGTTTGTAAGGGGTTTTCTCGCCTCAGAGAAAACGATTACTTACAAATGACGCCTGTTGACGGGACGGCTCTCGGGCGCCAGATTTTATGTGTGGTTTACTCCACAAACTTTCGAAACGGCGTCGAAAGTACTCGGGCAGCACAGATGTAGATGAAAAATTCCAGGGGTCGTTGGTCACTCAGACACAGGTAATAAGTAACCACAAGTAACGGGCTTTAATCGTGACTTGTGGTGATAAAGAATTTCTCACTGCTGAAATAAAGGGGGAAGTAAATTAGGGATCAGTAACCTCAGTAACAGTCAAGGTAACGTTGACACATATATTGAATTTTAACTATTTACAATAAATAATTTGTAACTAATATTTCAACGCCCACCCTCGCTCGTATTTTTAAAACCCTGAACAAAAAGAAAAACAAACAGATCGGCTTTGATTAGTCTCAATCAGACGGTATAATTAAAATTAAAAGAAAGATGCTCGGTGGCAATAGTAACTAATTAATAAATTGTCGGTTCGGTGGTTGAGCCAAAACGAAACCAAAAACAAAATTACTATTTCAGTTAAAGAAGAAAAATGGCAAATAATTGCGGTCGTATCAAAAGTTAGCTAGTTAACTGTTAAATCGGCAAAAAGATTGAAGTTAAATATTTTGTTTCGTAAAAGTAGAAATAAAATCACGGTCGTAGAAAAAGTTATCTGGTTAACTATCTAGTCGGTATTGAAACTGAAACAAACCTCCTTGTGTTAGTGAATAGGGAATAGATAAATGATAAGAAAACGGGATAGTATCAATCCTATGAGGAGTGTACTCGCCAAAGCCAGTCCGCTCAACATAAAAATGATACTATCATTTTAATCACGGCGCGGAGGTAACTAAAAAAAATAATCAAAAACCGGGTTAGTATTCAATCCTATGATGAGTGTACTCGCCAAAACCAGCCCTCTCAAACATAAGAAAAACACTAATATTTTAATCACGGCTAGGGGTTAATCTAAAAAAATCTAAAACCGGGATAGTATCTAATCCATTGTGAGCTTCTTCGCCAAAACCAGTCCACTCAACATGAAAAATGATACTATTTCAACTTTCCAACTTTCGAACTAATTCTATTCCCAAGTAAAGAAACATAAATAATAAAAGAAAAAGTTAAACCAGATTATGAACAAATAGAAACAAAATTTACGGTCGTAGTAAAAGTTAAGTAATTAACTATATACGGAATTTAATTTAAATTTAAATTTATTATTACTTAAAAAATAGAAACAACATCCACGGTCGCAATGAAAATTAAGTAATTAACTGTATACGGAATTTAATTTGAAATTAGGTTTACTATTACTCTGAAATAGAAACACAATCCACGGTCGCAATAAAAATTAAGTAATTAATAAAATAGAAACAAAATTTCTACTTCCTAATAACCAAAACTAATTTCCAATGTTTATAAAATCAAAACTAAATAATTTATCTGTAAATCAAAATATTTTTAACGAAAATCTAAAGTCAATTATTATTTCTATTAAATAAAATCGAAATCGGAATAATTTAATCAAATAAAACTGGTATTCGGACGTTTCACTCAAGAACCGACGACAGAAAAAAAAACGTAAACATTAATTCGGTGTACCTAACTACGGTTTCGGCGATGATTTTACAGCGTAAATCGAAGCAGACTTTTCGAGGTCGGATAAATGAATTTAAGCTGGTCGAATCAGTAAAGTGAATGATTTTAATACTGAATTCTGAATCCGAGTCTCTATGCCCAAGCAGGCTGGTTCCCCACTCGATGTGCGCGGATCGCACGCGCTATCGTTACTCAGGTATAATACGCGAATTTAAATGAAACAAAATTTGATATACAGGGTCTACCTATGAAGTTAAAATAAACTAAAAATTAAAATTTATATCCGGAATAGGCCGAAATATAGTAATGAAAATTGACTTCATTACAAGTTGTACTTTTAATAAAGTTAAAGACATTTTAACTTCAACCAGTGTTTTAACCCATTATAACCCAGATTACGAGTTAAAATTAATAATAGATGCTAGTCCGTATGGAAAAAAATTATTCGCAGGTGGAAAGAGAAGTTAGCAATAATTTTTGCCCTGTGTAAATTTAATCAGTACTTGTATGGTCGCGAATTTAGTTTGGTAAGCGATAACAAACCTTTATTAGCAATTTTTAACCCGAAAAAAGGTATACCTCAATATTCTGCGAATCGTCTACGCCGCTGGGCAGTAATTTTTTCTGACTATTCATATAAAGTCGAATACGTTAACTCAGAAAATAATAATGCTGATTTTTTGTCGCGATTGCCAATTTCTAGCGAGGAAATTGAAATATGGGAATCTGTTGATATTAACTATTTAAATTATTTTTCCGATAATGAAATAATTTCAACAAATTTTGAATTAATTAAAAAAGTTACTTTTGAAGATGAGATTTTGCAAAGAATTATACAATTTGTAAAAACTGATTGGCCAAATGCAAAAAATAACCCAAGTTTTAAACAATTCTTCAAAATAAGAAATGTGTTTTAATAACTTTTAATTAAAACACGTCGAGTTTAAAATGGATATAAACCTTTATTATTCAAGTATACATCAAGTCACTTTTACAAAGAAGGAATGAGTGATAGTGTCAACTGTCAAGTGTCATACTTCAAATGAGTACGTTCCTTTGAGTTCACTAAAGGTCAGTTCACATTAGAGATTAACTCCAGTCAAACAAAATAAGGTTACTATTGAAGATGATGTTTTGCTTTCTAATAATAGAATCGTAATTCCTGAAACATTAAAAGGTCGGTTATTATGTCAATTACATACACATGACTCATTTAGTAAAAATGAAAACTATATTGTATTTTATCCCTGAGATAATTTTTGTGATCTTTTATTTGAGAGCTAAGCGTTTTGTATGTTCTGACATAATCGGGTCGAATTTGGAAATCCTATGCATTTTAAAAAGTTACCATTATTTTTTTTAAACAACTTTTTACTACTTCCACGAAAACCTAAATTTGAATCATGTAAAAACTGAACCACCTAGAAAATTCTTTCTATAACATTTTGAATTTCAGAATCAATTATTTCATTTTTATTAAAATAAATGGTTAAATGTTCACTTAAATGCTGCCAGTCATTGTAACCAGATTCATCACTAAGACAAACCAATTTCAAATCGCTGTCATTAAAATTTTTACAACAGAAGCACTAAAGTCAAATTTTTGTTTCTGAATACAACAACCAAAATAGCTCAATTTTTTCTTTGTTTGGTAAAATTCTAAAGAAGTAATTATTGGAAAACTTACCCCGAACTATCTTTTGGATAAATATCGTTTTTGTTTTGATAATGAGTAGAGAGAGCCACGTTCTACTAATTCTTGAATATTATTAGGACGTAATTTCTTTGGCCATAGTGCTTTCGAAAGTTGACTCATATTTTCCGTTCTGGTAATTTTTGAAGGTGTTGATTTCTCATTATCAGCGGAACTTGAAGATGTTGATGGATTGCTTTCTAGATCAGTTTCTTGTCTGCTGATAAATACTTGTTTCAAGTACAGGTTTAGAATATTGGGATTCTGCTGTATTATTGTTGTTATTAATATTTGACAAAGTAGACTCGGGTTTTGAAAAAAATGCGTAATTTTGACATAGTTTTCCAGTTCTTCCTCTCTTTTTCTTTTATTCGGCAAATTTTGGTATCCAGACAATTTCTTTTTTTTTTTTGACATCCTGTATACTATAAAGAAATTATTACAAAAGTAAATAAATTGACAAATTATTCATGAAAAATGGAAATGTTTCGACGTCTCAAACTTAATCTTGAAAATATTTTCTCAACATTATTTATTTCAAAATTTATAAATTTTTATAAAAAGTAATATTATTGCTTTTATCAATTATTCTGTTTGAATTTACTTTAATTGACAATGATGTTTATATAATCAAATATAAAATGATTTTTGAGATGCATGTTTTTGGTTTCACTCCTAATATAGTAGATACCCTAATACAAGATGTTTCATTAATATTGAACATTAACGAAAAGGGTCTATATTATAATGAAAATATTTACTTAATTTCTAAGTATATTCGTTCTTTTCAGATCAAGATAATACTCCCATCGTACTGGGAGTAATAATTCCCGTGATACTTATAGCGCTACTTTTTATAACCGTCATATTCATAAAGAAACGAAGAGCAGCTGGTAAAAGGAAGGCGACGGAAGCCAGAGTGAATGATAGCATGTCTTTACCGGATTCTGTCATCGAAACTAGCAGACCGGTTAGAATAGAGAACTTCTCCAATCATTATAGGATTATGTCAGCAGATTCTGATTTCAGGCAAGTTTTCCTTAATATTATATTTTTGCTTTGTAACATCTATACGTACATCTTCTTCCACCTCAATAAATATCGCTGAAAACACTTTCTTAGAATACGTTAATGAAGATTATTTTAATAGATTTAGCGAAGAATTTGAAGAACTGAAACACGTAGGACGAGATCAGCCGTGCACTTTCGCTGATCTACCTTGCAACAGGCCGAAAAATAGATTTACGAATATTTTGCCATACGATCATTCCAGATTCAAACTTCAACCAGTCGATGATGAAGAAGGATCTGATTATGTTAATGCTAATTACGTACCGGTAAGTTTTTTTTTATATGGTTGTTCGAATTCTCAGTATTTTTAATAACATATGTCTATTTTTAAATGTACACTTGACTTGTTTTGAACAAAAAGGTTTTATGAGCTTGAGAATGGGCAGTAGCTTATCTGTAACATAGTCAATATTTAGATATAATAAAGGCAACACCAACAATAAAAACATATTTTTTTATTATCTTTAATATAAGAATACGGGATCAAATCGCTAACAAATGGTCCTTCGAGCCGAATTATTAATTGAAATTCGATGTCAAGTATAAATTATATTGAGAAATATGTTTCAATAAGTGCATATATTCTCTTTGTGTACATAATTCAGTTAAGAGAGTGTTGAAATTCATATTATCGCTTTATTATTGTTTAAATTCATAATATTTCTGAACTTTCACACACTTGCCGAGTCTTTTGGATAGTGGTGCTCAATCTGATTTTATAACTCACCATTTCTCTTCGAAGTAGGGCCTTGTCAAGGAACGCACTGATATTTCTATGACCGAAATTGATCAGATAACTTCAGGCATCAAATATAAATTCATTGCACTCTTCTTTTTTAACTTTAATTGCTTGGTTACTTCTTCTATATGTGACCAGGTTCCAGGTTCACTAATTGAAGTTTCTTCTTTGCGAATACCTTCAAACATTCGTTTATTTGATCCTAATTTCCATGTTCCATCCTGCATGGACCTTTTAATAGGTGCAGAGACCTTTTATGTGTGGGACAAATAAAATTAGGCCCACAGAAATATGTTCTTGGACTGTTTGGCCAAATTAACTTCCCAGAATGTAATGTCATCTTTCTCAAAATGGCAATACTAATCTCTCAAGGTTTTGGGAACTAGAAGAATGACCCACAAGTCAGGGTTTCTTCAATAAGGAGTTAGGTTGCGAGAATCATTTCATATTGACCTATTGCAGAAATTCTGATATACAAATCCCTTTCATACGTCCCATTGAAATCCCAATCAAATATTTTATAGTCTCGAGGGTAAATTTCAAAATCATTCTATTTTGAAAGAATCATATACTTCTTTCATGAACGATTTCTTCTCCAATCAACTATTATTTACCCCATCATGGAGTATACAAAGAGGATTCTCTAACAGCTCATCTTCGAGTGGTAATTGATAGATCTCGTGCTACTAGTTCCGGTGTTTCATGTAATGACCTTCAAATGATCTTCTGTCAGTCCTTTTAAGATTCTAACAATCTTCTTAGACTCATATCAGCATTCAAAACTATTTAATGAAGTATTTTATTCGAGAAACTATTTTCCCTCAATTCCCCAGCAGCTCCTGCTAAATTTTATGGATAAAGCGTCTGCTTCTCAATCAAGGGATCGTGCGTTCGAATCTCGGTAAAATTGTTATTAGGTACCTATGCTTGATTTTGTTTTAATAATAATAATGTTCTCATTTATCTTATATTTCCATTTGTCATTTTAATAAAACGTTATCAAATTAGTTAGTAACTAAAATTAAATGCTATTAAACACCTATAATAAATGGTTTTTTTTTCTCTTAGGGTTATAATTCACCTAGAGAATTCATTGTAACCCAAGGACCTCTACATTCCACGCGAGACGATTTCTGGAGAATGGTTTGGGAATCGAATTCTAGATCGATCATTATGTTGACGCGATGCGTCGAAAAGGGGAGGGAAAAATGTGATCATTACTGGCCTTACGATACGATGCCGGTATACTACGGGGATATATCCGTGCAGATATTGAACGAATCTCGGTATCCTGATTGGAATGTATCGGAATTTATGGTTTGTAGGGTAAGTAGTAGGAATTTTATAGGTATTATTTTAGAAATTGAAAAGCAATATTAAGATTGGGGACTTTTGTAGCAACCAGAAGAGAAATAAGTGAAGTCAGTATTTTACTTTGATTAATGTATTGTACAATACATAAGCGGCACGTCACATTTTTTTTATATCTGCTTTAACTTGAAACAAAACTAATCGGGTATTTTAAATGATCAATTAATCGAATATTTTTAATTATTTCTTAATAATCGAATTATCAATTATTTTAGATTAATCGATTAATTTTAACTAATAGATTATTTTCGATTTATCGATTATTGAAAACAATCGATTAATGATTATGCAATTATTAGATATTTTCGATATTTAATTCGATTAATCGAGAGTTAGATTATTTTCCATTATTCAGTTATTTTCAAATAATTAGTAGCGAATCGATTTTTGTTCTATTAATCGGTTATGTAATTATTCGATATTTTTGATTAATCGAATAATCGATTTTTCATTTAAACGAGTAATTGATTATTTTCGATTAATCGTCTGTTTTTCATTATTCGATTATTCAAGAAATCGATCATTTTCCATTTATCACTTATTATCAAATAATCAATAAAAAATCGATTATTTTAAATTAATTATTTCCGAATAGTCGGATTATCGATTATTTTAGATTAATTGAAACTAATAGATTAATTTCGATTTGTCGATTGTTAAAAATAATCGATTTGTGCTTATGTTATTATTCGATATTTTCGATTATTTGATTAGATTAAGCGAGAGATCGATTATTTTCCATTCAGTTTTCAAATAATTAGTAGAAAGTCGATTTTTTCTATTAATCGAATATGCCTTTATTCGATATTTCCTAATAATCGATTATTCGATATTATATTTAATCGATTAATCGTTTGTTTTCCATTATTCGATTATTCAAGAGATCGATTATTTTCCATTAATCACCTATTTTCAAATAATAAATGGAAAATCGATTATTTTAAATTAATTTTTTCCGAATAATCGGATTATCGATTATTTTAGATTAATCGATTAACTGAAACCAATAGAATAATTTCGATTGATCGATTATTGAAAATAATCGATTTTTTCAAATAATCTATTATTTTAAATTATACAATTATTTGATATTTTCGATTCGATTAATCAAAAGATCGATTATTTTCCATTCAGTTATTTCCAACTACTTAGTAGAAAATCGATTTTTTTTCCATTTATCGATTATGCATTTATTAGATATTTCCGATTAATCGATTATTCGATATATCATTATTTTAGATTAATCGTTTGTTTTCCATTATTTGATTGTTCAAGAGATCGATTATTTTCCAATAATCAATTATTTTCAAATAATCAATAGAAAATCGATTATTTTAAATTAATTATTTTGAATAATCGGATTATTGATTATTTTAGATTACTCGATTAATGGAAACTAATAGAATAATTTTGATTTATCGATTATTGAAAATCGATTTTTTCAATTTATTTAATATTTTTGATTATGCAATTATTCGATATCTTTGATTATTTGGTTCGATTAATCGAGAAATCGGTTATTTTTACTTAACAGATTGGTTTCAATTATTCAAGTAAAAGATAGATAGATTATTTTCCACAATCAACAGAAAATCGATAAATTCAATATAATCGATTTTTAATGCAATTATTCGATATTTTCGATTAATCGATTTTTCAATTAATCAAGTAATCGATTATTTTAGCTTAATCGATTATTTTGATTATGCAATTTTTCGATGTTTTCGATTAATCGATTTTTCAATTAATTCAATAATCGATTATTTTCGCTTAATCGATTGTTTTTCCATTATTAGATAAATCGAAATATCGATTATTTTTCCACTATTCGATTAATCGAGAAATCGATTATTTTTCTTTAATCAATTCTTTTAGATTAATCAATAATTTTAGAATAATCGATTATAGATTTATTGAAAATTTAATCTATAAAATAAAGTTTTTTTTTTTAAATGTTCATGACATTTTTTTGCAGGGCGAGACTCAGCGAATCGTAAGACATTTCCATTTCACCACGTGGCCCGATTTCGGGGTACCGAATCCACCGCACACTTTAGTTCGATTTGTTAGGGCGTTTAGAGAGAAAGTACCGCCCGATCAACGACCCATAGTCGTTCATTGTAGGTAAGTAATAAAATTTTACTGTAAGTGAAGTGAATAAATCTGCGCATATCGGATTAGAAAGGTACAAAATTAAAGTCTCGATATCAGGCCGCTAGCATGTAAAAATTACCGAATTTTACCTTTTCCCCTACAATTAAACTTTTTAAATTACATTGTTACCCCAATTACAAACACTTTTACAAAATTGTCCCATTTTCTAGTCCAAAATTACTCTTTTTGTGTCCTAAGTTAGTTAGTCCATCATTACCCCTCAAATAGTCCAAAATGTCTCTTTTTGTCAAAAAAATAGTGCCCCTTTTGTCAAAATATTTAAAATGACTCCCAATTACCTTATTGCCCTCAATTACCCTTTCATGTTGAAAGCACCTATTTTGTTAAAAAAAAATATCGTACAACTGTATTTTCTTTTGTCAAAATGTTACCTCTTTTGTTAAAAATTGTTTTTTTTTTTTTAGTTTAAAATTACTCTCATTTTGTGTTTTTAATTACTCCAGAATTAGTCCAAAATTACCTCTTCTTTGTTAAAAAAATGTTCCTTTGATCCAAACGTAATCACTGTTTTGTCAAAAAAAAATGTTACCCCTTTTGTCAAAAATGTTCAAAATTACGCTCGAAATGTTATCCCATTTTGTTAAAGTGTCTATTTTATTAAAACAAACTTCTGGTAAAAATATAATACCTTTTGTTAAAATGTTAACTCTTGCCAAAATGTTAAAATTTTCTCTTGTTGTATACTAAATTACTCCTGACTTGGTCGAAAATTACCTCTGAATTAGTGCAATATTACCTCTTCATTCTCAAAAATACATCCATTTGGTCCACCTATCGTTTGTCAAAAATGTTATCTCTTGTGTGAAAATATCAGCCTTTCTGTTCAAAATTATCTCTTCGAATCCAAAATTACTCCAGATTTAAATTGAAATTACTCTTTTGTTGTCAAAAAAATTAAACTTTTGATTCAAATGAAACCTCTTTTGTACAAAAATATTACCTTTTCTCTCCAAAAATGTGTCTTTAACCAAACATTACCCCTTTTTCGTTTAAGTGGTATACACGTTTGTGGTTTTACTTCATTTTGACCTGTTCTCTCTGTTTGTCTAGGCGTAACGCCTTTTTTGACTTGTTGCTCTTTTTTTTGCAAATTTCTATTATTTTTACAAAAATTACCTTATTTCAATTAAAAATTGTAAGTCTTACGATAAAACTCAAAGCTAGGTTATTTTTCTTTTATTTATAATTTGTTACTTATGTAGCGCCGGCGTAGGACGTTCAGGCACCTTCATCTGTTTGGACCGAATCTTACAACAAATTCTGAAGTGCGATTACGTCGATATCTTCGGAATCGTGTACGCCATGAGGAAAGAAAGAGTATGGATGGTCCAGACCGAGCAGCAATACATCTGCATCCATCAATGTCTTCTGGCCGTGCTGGAAGGCATTGATCTGACAACGTCGCCGCGAGAGATTCACGAAAACCAAGGGTTCGAAGGTAAGATTTCGTTTCTTCTATGTAATTTGTGTCATAATATTATTTGTAATGTACCATATTTGTTTTAGAAGTGGAAAAGATCGACATAACTATTAAATTATATTAACAAATTAAAAAAAAATAGTAAAAACGGTTTAAATACGGTCAATTTTGATAAAATGTCAATTTTCATAAAATGTAATTTTTTATAAAATGTCTATTTTCATATGTAAATTTTTGTAAATGTAAATTTTTATCAAATGTCAATATTTATAAAATTTCAATTTTTATAAACTCTGAATTTTCATAAACTGACAGCTTTCATTAACTTTCAAGTATTTTTTAGAAAATATCCAAATTTATAAATTGTCAGTTTTTATAAAATATCAATTTTTATAAATTGTTAATTTTTATAAAATCTTAATATTTTGTAAATTGAGTTTTTATTGACTGTCAATTGTTATAAATTGTAATTTTTTATGAATTGCCAATTTTCATAAATTTTAATGAACTGCTTTTTTCATAAATTGTCGTTTTCATAAACTGTTAATTTTCATAAAATGTCAATTTTCGTAAAATCAATTTTCATAAACTGTTATTTTTCATAAACGTCAATTTTCATAAAATGTAAATTATCGAAAAAAATCAATTTACCTTAAAAATAAGTTTTCGTAAAAAAGCAATTTTCATAAAACGTCAATTTTTATGAACTATCAATTTTCATGAACTGTCAATTTTTATGAACTGTCAATTTTCATGAACTGTCAATTTTCATAAACGAACAATTTGTATGAACTACAAATGTTTATAAACTCAATTATAAACTGTCAATTTTAATAAATTGTTCATTTTCATAAAAAATCAATTTTCATTACTGTTATTTTTCATAAACGTCAATTTTCATAAATTGTCAATTTTTATAAACCATCAATTTTCATGGATTGCCAATTTTCATGAACTATCAATTTTCATAAACTATCAAATTTTTATAAACTGTCCATTTTCATAAGCTGCAAATATTAGGTGCTGTTGTTTAATTTGCTATCAATACAGATTTACAAAAAAATATTAAAATTACTCTAAATATGCTTAAACTTTCAATCGTTATAAATTATGCCAATTGCCATAGACTATAAATTATCATACACTGTTAATTGACATACACGTTATAATTAACATAAATTGTCAATTTGTCATAAATTTTTACATTATCATAAACTTATGTCAATTATTAATAATTTGGTACATTACAAATAATCATCATTTGCATAAATCGTAACCACATGCTATCTCCATGTTTGTGCTAGCAGAAATGGTTTCTGTGTTTATAAGACGTTGTAAAAAGCTGCTATTCTGTGGTTCAGGCAAAGGTGTCGGTGCTACTGTCGATTCATCCAATTATGCACAACGGGAAAAACTGAGGTAGAAAATAACAACCGGGCACACTCACCTGTAAAATGCTTCTTAACGTTTTTTTCCCTTTATATGGTAACTATGCTGCATGATTTGATGGGAAATGTTAATGAAATAATGGAGTTGTAACGATTTTATGTGAATGTTTTATTTTTATTAATATTATTTTTGAGGAATATATGAATTAAAGAATAAAATTAAAAATAGGCTAATAAAGAAATTTTTCTAATTTTGACATATAAAGTGACATATCTTGTAATCGCCGTAAGTGTCAAAACGATTTACTAGTAGAACAATATGCAACTGATTATATCATCAGTAGTTACGAAATGAAAATTAAAATGCCTTTTTTGGGTTTTAAATCGAAAAATCGAAAAACTAAAAAATTGAAAAAACGAAAAATCAAAAAATCGAAAAATTAAAACATCGAAAAATCGATAAATTAAAAAATCTGAAAATCGAAAAATAAAAAAATGGAAAATTGAAAAATCGGAAAATGGAAAAATCGAAAACTTAAAAAACGGAAAAATCGAATAATCAAAAAATTAAATGATCAGAAAAATTAAAAAATCGAAAAATCAAAAAATTAAAACATCGTTAATTCGAAAAATGAAAACATCGGAAATTCGAAAAATGAAAAAATCGTAAATCGAAAAATCGTAAAATAGAAAAATCAAAGAATCAAAAAATGGAAAAATCAAAAACAAAAAAAATGAAAAATAGAAAAATTGAAAAATCGAAAATCAAAAAATTAAAACATCGGAAAATCGATAAATTAAAAAAACTGAAAATCAAATAATCAAAAAATTAAATAATCAGAAAAATTTAAAAATCGAAAAATTAAATCATCGGGAAATCGAAAAATTAAAAAATCGAAAAATGGAAAAATCGAAGAATAGAAAAATCGTGCAAGGCTAAATTACAAATTTTTCGTTCATTCTTATTTTGTAGAACATTAAAACGCTGTTTTAGATAATTAGCGTTACATAAACCTTCATGGCTCAGAGAGTTAGGCGTTCAATTTTGGGTTTCGCGATTAGGGTTCAATTCCCGATAAAAGTAATTATTTTTTGTCTATTCATATTAAATACAATTTATTTATCATACAGTTAGGCAATCTTTAATCGGTAATTGAACTCGGGTCACGAAATCCAAATTCAAGCGCTTAACGACCTGAGCCATTAAGGTTTATGTCAAATTATTTATCTAATGAAATATGCGACATAAAAGTTTGCTACAAGGCAGCGTTATCGAGAGCTCCAACGCTGGTGCGTCTGCAGCAAACTATTTCTATCTTCTACAAGACAAAAATAAAGAAAATGTTTGTAAAGTTACTTTGCGACAAAAACTTTTAAACAATGGAAATTCACGTTTAAACGAAATTTGCAATTTTATTTGATTGTCCTTATTTTACATTATTAAAGATATGATTCATATATTCGATTAAAATAATTTTAATTCAAAGGTGAATTATAATCTTGCATGAATCTCAATTAAGTAAATTAACAATTGCATGAATTAACATATTTATTAAACCTTTTTTTTACCGTTTTTAGTTTGTCAATCTTTCTGATGCTAAAAGTTTAAGTTTCCAAACTCGTACCTAAATTGCATAAATCGAAAAATAAACATCTTTTGTGACACTACTTTGCTTTTGCACAATGGAGTTTCTAATTACATTGCATCCCTTTTTCGTTGCTTTATAGATGATTCAATATCGGTAATTCAGGCGACTAAATTGATCTCATCAATTGATTAAAAGTAACATTACCTATTCATTTCTGTAGTAACCCTAAGACAATCTCACGGGTTTATTTGACAGAACTGATTTTCATTAAATTTCTTGTTTCATCAAATCACGTGTGAGATACTGGTATTGTTGAATATTCTCTATTAACACCATTAAAACTTTTTCCATTAATGTGTTTATAATGTACCAATAAGTGGGGCAGAATAAATTGGGCGATTTTGAAAAGTTCAGAAATCGTGCTGTATCTTAAAGAGGTGAAGCTATGCAAGCACATTATGCTTTTTGAAACCATACTGAGTACTGTTGATCTTCAAAGTTTCTTTCTTGTCGTTTACCAAGTCTTCTTAAAGTTCTCGACCCAATTTTTGATTAGTAGATTAACGCACTACTTCATCCTTATTAAAGCAATATTTATCACCCAGGTGTTGTGTTGCAACAAAGTTTTTATATGGGTAACGGCTTTTTTTACATCTTAAGTATCATCATGTATCAAATAAGAATCTTCTCAAATTGTATCATTACCGACCAGTCACGCAATTGCTTCACTCTCAGATATCTACCATTATCTCCTCTGACTTAATCCCTGATCCCACTAGCATGGCTGGAGAAGCAGTGGAATGTTAATTAGCAGCCCGCTCCCAACTGGGACTTTGAAATATACATGATTTACATTAATATTGCCATAAGAGATGTTCTTCAAGTTAATGTATTTAAACCAGCGTGTTTTTATTTTACAAAATCTTTCTTTTATAAAAATAAGAAACATATTCATGACTGATCAGTATTTTAAATACATTAATATTATTTATCTTTAATTCATTAAGATCTAACATTTCCAACGCCTTTTTAAATCGTTCTTTATTCTGCCCAACCTATTATTAACTGTATTGTAAAATTACAAAAAAACTATTCTCATTTTTTCTTTCTTTTTTTTTTATAGATGATGAAGGCATCGCTGAATCCGGAATGTAAAGAATCTCTAGAGAATAATAGAACGAAATACGTTTAAAAATATTTCTTAAATTGAAAATGTTTTATATTGATAGTTAATAAGATCCATAAACAGTATAATCATTTTTGTGACAATTAATTTGAAATGTATCCAAATTTGGCTTAAAAATTATCAAATTTTGATATAAAATGTCAAATTTGTGTCAACATTCTTCCAAAAAATCCTCTGTGTTCACAAATTTGCCAGATTCCATCCGAAACATTGACAAATCTAGTTAAATATTTGAAAAAATTTCAAAAATTGCAATATGGCTCAGTATTGGTCAATTTGGCATGTAAATTTGGCTCAAAATATTAAATTCGTGGTTCAAAAAAATATAATATTTGGGTAAAAAAGTGTACAATTAACGGTTAAAAAATGTCAAAATTTGTGTCAGCATTCTTCCAAAAAATCCTCTTATTCATAAATTTTCCTGGTTGGATCAAAATTGACAATTTCACCCCAAAAATTGACAAATGTAGTCAAATATTTTATTTGCAAAATGCCAAAAAATTGCAAATTTGGCTCAGTAATGGTCAATTTGACTCAAAACATGCAAATTTGGCTCAGTATACAAATTGTACTAAAAATGTTCAAACAATAAAAAATTTGGGTAGAAAAGGGCCACAAATTTGCAAATTTAGTAAAAACTTTCTAAAAAAATCACTCACTCAAAAACTTCACTGTTAAATTACGAATATTAAAGACGCCGTTGCCGGTGTGGACCTTTTTTGATAGTAACGATTGCTATTATTGAATAATGGCGAATTTTCCTGAAGAGAATGTCCACTTTGCGTCAAAAATAGCGAATATAGTTCAAAAAATGCCAAATTCTGCTCAAAAATGGCAAATTACCATTAAAAATGTCAAATTTACACTAAGAATTGACCATTCGGCTAAAAAATTTGCAAATTTTATTTAATAATTGTCAATTTGGATTAAAAAATTGTAAATTTGGCGATAAATGTGATTAAAATATGATATTTGGCTCAGATGGAAAATTTGACTAAGACGGCCAATTTGCATTAAAAAAATGACACCAAGAAAGTCCAATTTATGTAAAGAATTAGTCATATGGCAAAAATTGCAAATTTGGCTTAATAATTGTCAGTTTAGAAAAAAAAATTGTAAATTTAGCCGAAAATGTGTAATTTGAATCAAAAATGCTGAATGCGATTAAAATATGACATATTTGACCCGTATGGCAAATTTGCAATAAAAAATGAAAATTTGCGAAAAGAAAGTCCATATTTAGTTATTCGATTAAAAATTGCAAATTTCGCTTATTAATTGCCACGCTGGACTAAAAATTTAGCTGAAATGTGCAATTTGCGTCAAAAACTCCCAATGTGACTAAAATATGGCAAATTTGGCTTAAATGCCAAATTTGGCTCAAATGGTTAATTTGTCTTAAAAAACGGCAAATTTGGCTAAAAAGTTAAACTAATTTTCACTGACAATGATTAAACTGAAAATGGATTGTATTAAACACGTTATCAAAATAACTTTTGTACTATTTATTAAACATTTTTGTACTGTAGCTATTAAGTTTGTACAAATGAAAGAAGAGTATTTTTTTAGTGCTTCCAATTTTATTTTTTGGAAAATACTTTTAATTTGTTGAATGTACGTAGGTATGGATGTTTTTAACTTTCGTTACCTATTTTTAAAAAATATTTTGTGGACCAGTTACAAGATTTAACAATGAAATGACATTTGTTTGTAGGAAAATATATATATGAACGCCTTTTTTGAATTTTAAGTTAGTAAAAATAATACTGTGATAATTTCTATACGATTTCTAGAATTTAAGCGGAAAACTACTTGTTATATTTTTATGCTTCGATTGTAGACTAACCTATTTGTATTTGTTCTGTACTTAATTTTACCTTTAAATACATATTTTATCTATGTTTACTTGTTTTTGTTGCATTCGTTAAAATTATGTTTAAAAAAAAATGGTGAATTTGGCTGAAAAATAGCCGATTTGGAGTAGAAGAATGAAAATTTGGCTGAAAAAGTGTAACAAGTAAGTAAAGTTTTTATTTTTAAAAAATTAGTTCAAAAAATGTTACCCTAATACAACTATCCAAATTAAAATGTTCCAATTTCGTTAAAATTTTGGTGTTAGGATAACAGAAGAGCGGGAAGATAAAGTTCCCTAATCAATTTACCTTGTAATTTAAGGTAACGCAAAATTAAGTTCCTTAATCAAGTTTACATTGCCGTTGAGGGTAACGCAAAATCGACGTATTTTTAAACGTGAATAACTCGTAAACGACACCAGATAGAGAGGATCGGCAAAGTGCAATCTAATATATCTGTGCTGCTCTACTTTTGTAAGAATTTACAGATAAATTTGACAATTAATAATTGATGAAAACGAAAAAATATATAAATTCTTATAATTTAAGTGGAAGATAGAGAGAAGCTGACACTTACCAGACATTTCAAATGACTTACTGTACCTGTGTGCCAAATTTCGTAAAGATATGAGCAAAAATAAAAATGTTCGATATCTCCTCGCTTTTCTATTATCCTGATACAAAGTCCGAATTCGATCAGGAGAGCAGAAACGCGACAAGGTATTTGGCGTATTTTTAAATGCGAATACCCACTGAACGGCTTAAGATAGAGACAAGCGCCATAGAGCATTTTAAATTATCCGTCCGGCTCTACCTTCATCTGAATTTATGGAGTAATTCGATCATTATTAACTGAGGAATTAAAAAAAATAAGTTAACCCTTATAGATAGGGAGCAACTGAGTTCGCCCCTTAATTGGTCGTGCTCTCCTTTATATGTACCCCAATTTTCATCAACATCGGAGACAAAAATTTTTTTTTATCAAAAAATAATGAAGGCTATACCCTTTCGATTTTTTTGAAAAAATTAAAAGCATTTAAAATCTGCATACGCATAGAATGTCACATCTAGAGCTCAAAAATACACTCAGTTTTTTTCTAACAGCAATAATAAAAAAGTTGTGGCTCATTTTGCAAAAAGTATCGTAGATAGAGAGAAGCAGACACCTGCCAGACATTTTAAATGAAATACTGTACCTGTGTGCCAAATTTCGTAAAGATATGATCAAAAATAAAAATATTCGATATCTCCTCGCTTTTCTATTATCCTGATACAAAGTCCGAATTCGATAAGGAGAGCAGAAACGCGACAAGGTATTTGGCGTATTTTTAAATGCGAATACCCACTGAACGGCTTAAGATAGAGACAAGCGCCATAGAGCATTTTAAATTATCCGTCCGGCTCTACCTTCATCTGAATTTATGGAGTAATTCGATCATTATTAACTGAGTAATTAAAAAAAATAAGTTAACCCTTATAGATAGGGAGCAACTGAGTTCGCCCCTTAATTGGTCGTGCTCTCCTTTATATGTACCCCAATTTTCATCAACATCGGAGACAAAAAATTTTTTTATCAAAAAATAATGAAGGCTATACCCTTTCGATTTTTTTGAAAAAAATAAAAGCATTTAAAATATGCATACGCATAGAATGTCACATCTAGAGCTCAAAAATACACTCAGTTTTTTTCTAACAGCAATAATAAAAAAGTTGTGGCTCATTTTGCAAAAAGTATCGTAGATAGAGAGAAGCAGACACCTGCCAGACATTTTAAATGAAATACTGTACCTGTGTGCCAAATTTCGTAAAGATATGATCAAAAATAAAAATATTCGATATCTCCTCGCTTTTCTATTATCCTGATACAAAGTCCGAATTCGATAAGGAGAGCAGAAACGCGACAGTGTATTTGGCGTATTTTTAAATGCGAATAACTACTAAACGGATTAAGATAGAGACAAGCGCCATAGAGCATTTTAAATTATCCGTCCGGCTTTACCTTCATGTGAATTTATGGATTAATTCGATCATTATTAACTGAGGAATTAAAAAAAATAAGTTAACCCTTATAGATAGGGAGCAACTGAGTTCGCCCCTTAATTGGTCGTGCTCTCCTTTATATGTACCCCAATTTTCATCAACATCGGAGACAAAAATTTTTTTTATCAAAAAATAATGAAGGCTATACCCTTTCGATTTTTTTGAAAAAATTAAAAGCATTTAAAATATGCATACGCATAGAATGTCACATCTAGAGCTCAAAAATACACTCACTTTTTTTCTAACAGCAATAATAAAAAAGTTGTGGCTCATTTTGCAAAAAGTATCGTAGATAGAGAGAAGCAGACACCTGCCAGACATTTTAAATGAAATACTGTACCTGTGTGCCAAATTTCGTAAAGATATGAGCAAAAATAAAAATGTTCGATATCTCCTCGCTTTTCTATTATCCTGATACAAAGTCCGAATTCGATCAGGAGAGCAGAAACGCGACAAGGTATTTGGCGTATTTTTAAATGCGAATACCCACTGAACGGCTTAAGATAGAGACAAGCGCCATAGAGCATTTTAAATTATCCGTCCGGCTCTACCTTCATCTGAATTTATGGAGTAATTCGATCATTATTAACTGAGGAATTAAAAAAAATAAGTTAACCCTTATAGATAGGGAGCAACTGAGTTCGCCCCTTAATTGGTTGTGCTCTCCTTTATATGTACCCCAATTTTCATCAACATCGGAGACAAAAAATTTTTTTATCAAAAACTTAACCCATTACCATTCACGGTAACAAAAAAGTGAAGAATTATCTTAAAAAAGCATGTCTGATCGAGGAAGAATGAAGGTCAAAAAAATACGTTTTAAAAACTTAAAATATAATTGAAACAAAGATTATAAAAATCTACTTATTTAACAAAAATATAATATATCTCTTAAATTAATTTAAAATACTTCCTACTCTATCCCTCGGAATGATCCTTAATTCTGAACCATGTTTTAAGAAAACGTTTCCTGGAACAAATAAGACGTATTAAACAAATAGTATGAATCTTGTAACATAACATAGAAATATAACGAATACAATGTGAAAAAAATCGAAAATTGAACTATTTTGGGATATAAGTTCAATTTGAAACAAACTTATGTTTTTTAAACCAGATCACCCTGTATTTGAGTGATACCATGAAATAAATAAATAAATAAATAAAGTTATCAGTTGTTTAGTAACAATAGGATTACAAAAAATGCCAATTTGACTAGAAAATTGGCAATTCAACTTAAAAAATGGCAAATTTGGCTCAAAAATACATAATGAAGTATAAAAATTGCAAAATTTGGTTCAATAATGGTAAATATAAATTTTAAAAATGTTCAATTTGCGCCAAAAAGTTAATTTAAAATATGTCAAAAATATCCAATAACAAAAATTGCAAATTTGGTAAAAAAATGGCAAAATAGTTAATACGTGATTGGCTTGAAAATAAGTCAAAAAATTGCTAAATTTTGCTCAATAATGATAAATATAAATTTGGCTTAACAATAACACATCCAAAAATATGATAAAATTTCGTGGATAAAAACGTACAATTTGCGCCACAAATTACAAATTTGAATGAAATTGACATTGGACATTGGACAAATAGTGGAAAATTTGGTTCAATAATATCAATATAATTTCCACAATGTGGTTCAAAAAATGACAACTGATAAATTGACTTTAAAGTGCTAAATGTGTTTGAAAAATTTGGCTTAATAATGGCAAGTTTGTTTTAAAAAAAATGGTAATTTGTTTAAAAAAATGCAAATTTGGCCCAAAAAATATCAAATATGTGCCAAAAATGCCAAATGTGTTTTAAATCGGATCAAATATTTGAGTGATATCACGCATTAAATAAAAAATATTAATAATTAAAAATTACCAGCTGTTTGTTGCGGATTAATTCCTATACCATCATCGGTAATAATTGCGGACGTTGCTGGGGGTACTTGAAATTCCTCGGCTGCAAATTTTAAGACTGCTGTAAAAGGTGTGGCCTCTGGAACACTTAATCTGAAAATATTACAATAGAATAACTAAAATGGCAAAAATTTAGATCATTTATGGTCAATTTGGTTTAGAAATGTAAATTTGGCTCAAAAATTCCGATTTGTCTCAAAAATGTCCACTGTGGTGAAAAAATAGCAAATATGGCTCAAAAATTTTGCAGTAACACTACCGGATATATTTATGTAATACGGTTTTTTTATTAGAGGTTCCCACTAAAAAATTTTAAATAGGTGGCCTAAATAAAGGGTCATCATCCAAAGATATTGCGGCATGTAACAGCAAACATACGTATGTGGCCCGAAGGAAAAAAGGTTCAGTATGGCTGATCTAATTGGAAGGTCTTTTGAAGGTGATCAACGAAAATATCAGCTTTCTGTTGATTGGCTCTGCTATTTTGATAGGAAGACACTGTTTCCACGAATTTTTCTTCTTTTCAGTTGCCTTTCAGAATGAATAATTAATTTCTTTATCATCTATTAGCCCTACTAGGTATCTGTTGAAGAATTCTTCTTTGTGATTCAGGATTTCTCCTCTCAATCTATATTTTTATCTTCTGTTGATCTTGTCATCTGCCATTTCTTTCTTAGTTTTCTTTTTCTTATATCTGTATACAGATAGGAAAGTAAAAATACATCATTTGAATATATTGCGGTATTTTTTTTCATTAAGAAATACACCTACAGTTAGGTTAGATGAGTTATGACCCGGATCATTCTGACCCGGATGAGTTCTGGCCCAGATGAGTTCTGACCCAGATCAGTTCTGACCCGGATGATTTCTGACCCGGATCAGTTCTGACCCGAATCAGTTCTGACCCAGATCAGTTCTGACCCGGATCAGTTCAGACCCGGATGAGTTCTGACCCGGATCAGTTCTGACCCGGATGAGTTCTGACTGGGATGACCAGGATCAGTTAGTTCTGACCCGGATGAGTTCTGACCAGGATCAGTTCTGACCCGGATGAGTTCTGACTGGGATGACCAGGATCAGTTAGTTCTGACCCGGATCAGTTCAGTTCTGACCCGGATGAGTTCTGACCCGGATGAGTTCTAACCCGAATGAGTTCTGACCCGAAAAAGTTCTGACCCAGATGAGTTCTGACCCGGATCAGTTCTGACCCGGATCAGTTCTGACCCGGATGAATTCTGACCGGGATGAGTTCTGACCCGGATCAGTTCTGACCCGGATGAGTTCTGACCCGAATCAGTTCTGACCCGGATCAGTTCTGACCCGAATCAGTTCTGACCCGGATGAGTTCTGACCCGGATGAGTTCTGACCCGGATCAGTTCTGACCCGGATGAGTTCTGACTGGGATGACCAGGATCAGTTAGTTCTGACCCGGATGAGTTCTGACCCGGATGAGTTTTGACCCGGATCAGTTCTGACCCGGATCAGTTCTGACCCGGATGAGTTCTGTCCCGGATGAGTTCTGACCCGGATGAGTTCTGAACCGGATCAGTTCTGACCCGGATGAGTTCGGACCCGGATGAGTTCTGACCCGGATGAGTTCTGACCCGGATGAGTTCTGACCCGGGTTAGTTCTGACCTGGATCAGTTCTGACCCGGATGAGTTCTGATCCGGATCAGTTCTGACCCGGATGAGTTCTGACCCGGATCAGTTCTGACCCGGGTTAGTTCTGACCCGGATGAGTTCTGACCCGGATGAGTTCTGACCCGGATCAGTTCTGACCCGGATGAGTTCTAAACCGGATGAGTTCTGACCCGGATCAGTTCCGACCCGGATGAGTTCTGACCCGGATGAGTTCTGACCCGGATCAGTTCTGACCCGGATGAGTTCTGACCCGGATGAGTTCGGACCCGGATCAGTTCTGACCCGGATGAGTTCTGACTGGGATGACCAGGATCAGTTAGTTCTGACCCGGATGAGTTCTGACCCGGATGAGTTTTGACCCGGATCAGTTCTGACCCGGATGAGTTCTGTCCCGGATGAGTTCTGACCCGGATGAGTTCTGAACCGGATCAGTTCTGACCCGGATGAGTTCTGACCCGGATGAGTTCTGACCCGGGTTAGTTCTGACCTGGATCAGTTCTGACCCGGATGAGTTCTGACCCGGATGAGTTCTGATCCGGATCAGTTCTGACCCGGATGAGTTCTGACCCGGGTTAGTTCTGACCCGGATGAGTTCTGACCCGGATCAGTTCTGACCCGGATGAGTTCTAAACCGGATGAGTTCTGACCCGGATCAGTTCCGACCCAGATGAGTTCTGACCCGGATCAGTTCTGACCCGGATGAGTTCTGACAGGGATGACCAGGATCAGTTCTGACCGGGATCAGTTCTAACCCGGATCAGTTCTGACCCGGATGAGTTCTGACCCGGATGAGTTCTGACCCGGATCAGTTCTGACCCGGATGAGTTCTGACTGGGATGACCAGGATCAGTTCTGACCCGGATGAGTTCTGACCCGGATCAGTTCAGTTCAGATAAAAAACAATAGTGCCCCGGAATTTGATTGATCAGTAAAACATCTGAAACTACTACATCTGTATTTACTGGAACCTTTAATGCATATAATTAATTGTATTTTTAATACAGGAATCGTACCTAAACAATTTAAAACTTTAATTATAACACCTATTTATAAAGCTGGTAATCCAAAATTAATAACTAACTATAGACCTATTAGTTTAATTAGTAATGTGGCCAAAATATTTGAGAAGTGTGTGAAAGATAGACTGTCAGATTTTTTAAAAACTAATGACTTACTTCCCAAGCACCAATATGGCTTTACTGATGATCTTAACTCAGGAGATGCTATGCATGAATTGATTTCATATGTTACTGATGAAATGAATACTGGTAACAAGTGTATAGCTATATTTTTAGATCTAGCAAAAGCATTTGACACGGTGCCACATCAGAAGTTCTTAAATGTTCTTGAACAGAATAGAGTGAGGAGCATCGTGTTGAAGGTTTTTGAAAATTATTTAACACACAGACAACAGAAGGTAAAGCTCAGAGACAAGGTAAGTAACCCTGAAAATATACAAATCGGAGTGCCTCAAGGGACTGTTCTGGGACCTATACTATTTAATTTATACATTAAGAGCTTAACTCAGATTGATATTTAAGGTAAAGTTGTATCATATGCTGATGATACAGTGCTAATCTTCAATGATAAAAGATTGGAAAGCTGTCAAGACACATGCTATAGCTGGAATGGAACATGTCAAAAACTGGCTGGATGTTTTTAAATTGTCTTTGAATGTTAACAAAACAAACTACATTGCTTTTTTAAAAACAGTAACTGATTGACCTCAATTTAGAAGCTTAACATGTCAAAATTTAGACATACAGGAAACAGAAACATCCAAATATTTAGGTATAATTATAGACCAACACTTAAAATGAGACTGCCATATAATATATATACCAAAAAAACTTACATTTTTGATTTATAAATTTTATATTCTAAAACAATTTCTCAACCAGGACCTACTAATAACATTATACTACAGTTTAGTAGAGTCTATACTACGGTATGGAATCTTAGTATGGGGATGCCTGTATGAAACTACATTAAATCAGTTAAATATTATGCAAAACAAAATCTTGAAGTTAATATATAAAAGAGATAGATTGTGTCCCACCATAACTTTATATAATGAAAAAATTAGCAATGTTAGATGTTTATATATTCACTAAGTGTGTTGTTATATACAAAAAAATGAATTTTAAAAAAAACCCTTTAGAACATAGCCATAACACTAGAACTGCATCAAATATGTGCATTAAAGTACCAAAACCAAATAGTGAGTTTTTTAAAAACAGTGTAAATTATCTGTGGACAAAGTTCTATAACGCTCTACCTCTTCATAGAAAATTATTAAATAAATATAAAAAAATTCTGTAAAGTTAGCAAAATATACATTTTCCAAAATAATGCAAAGTTTATCTGAATATTCCAAGAATAACGGACTTAATACATGGATTTTTTAAATAGTTTTTTTTTCTGTTTCTTGCATAAACTGTTCAAGTTTTATTTTTTATTTAAAAAAAAAGTTTTTTTTATTTCCTTTATAATTCATTAAATATAATTAAAATAAAATTTTAATTTCTGTCAGCACATACAGGTGTTCTCACCTAGCTGCTTGTTATTATATAATTGGTTTCCATTATTGTAACTTATTTATTATTGTAACTCATTGTAATTTATAACTATTAACTATTTAACTCATACGTTCATAAATCTAAAATTGCAGAATTTTCCCTTTTAGGTATATTTTAAAAAATCTAGGGGTAAAAAACCTGTACCAGCCAACCCTGCTTCAACTTCATTACAAGTATCTCATAATTAACTCTGTCAAATGTATTGGAGAAGTCAGTACAAACAGAATCAAGTTGTTTACCAATCTCCAAGGCATCCAATGAACTATAATGATCTAGTTTAAGTATACTTGTCAATTTGAAATTATGTCTAGTATGTTTGTCTCAAATAGCAGCTAAATTGCCTCATAAATCAAAAAGATATTAAGAGGATTTGGTTTCATTGTCTCCTAACAGGTATGGATGCTTAGCAGAGCTTAAATAACTTTCTGCTAATAAGGAAAGTTAAAGACAATGTTTATGAATTATTTTATTAGTATTATTTTTTTATTTTCCATTAATTTCATACAACATTTCATCCCATATATTTGCACTACTACATTGTTTAGCTTCATTTAATCTATTAACAATTAATTGTTCAATATCCTCACTACTTTTACTCAATTTTGAAAGAATGTTTAATATTTCCTCATACTCAATATCAGGATAAGAACAAATATTCTGATCACTTCTCCAATGAATTCCCACTTTGTTCATCATGCTTCCGATGTACACAATAAAATTTAAAAAACTATTTAAAAACTCTTGAAAATTCTTGCAAATATCACAAATTATTTTTATATTAATACTTTTAAACATTGTAGTCCAAAATTCTTTTGTTAAAATAGTTCTAAGTGACATTTGTTCCAACACATTATTCAAAACTAAATTTTGTACCAATTTATCTTCTTGATTTAATGATAAAATGCCTAATAATAAATATAAAAATGAATTTACATTATAAGGTAAAAGCATGTTATTAATTTCATCTTTAACACAATTTAATTTCCCTGTTTGTAACAAACAATCCCAATTTTGCAATTTTATGTTATATTCAAAATATTTTGTTTCTTCTTCATTAAAATTCGATTTGATATAATCACTTAAAGCTTCTAAATTACCAGCGTTTAATAAAATTCTAGTCAACACTTCTTCGAATCTTTTTTTAGGAAAAATACTTGTATACACTCGAACAGCAATGTCTAAATTCTGTTCGGAGATATTTGTAGAAATAAAAAATTTAATAATTAACTCATCACAAGCTGTTGCGAAAAAACTTTCACTGTAAACTTTAGTCCTATTTTTGCTTTTCAACCACTTTTTTAACACGTTTAGAAACTGTTCTGAACTGTCTTGTATCCTAAAATGCTCCATAGTTTTTTCTATAAAACTTCCTAATTTAAAAGCGGATTTGATATCTTCAATTTTAGCGACACGTGCCCAATCGGAGTCTTCTAGTATTTTAATGAACGATTCGAATGATGTTACGATTTGCGTTATATTTGATGAACAATTATCGACCATATTTTTAAACTTTTGGTAGTTTCTGTCAGGATGTTCTTCAGTGTTTATCTGTTAACAAAAGAATATATAAATTTCTGACAGTAACTACCAAGAGAATAGATAAAATGAAGCAATTTTGAATACTCACACTTTGAATGGCAGTTTGGGATCCGATGTTAAAGTTATTTTAAACGTTACTTTGGATCTGAAAGGAAAAGATTGTAAACATATTGTACCACACGTTTTGTTATAATTTAAGTATAATACATAATAATTACTAAATTATTTTAATGTATAACTTACGCCATAATTCTATAAAAAGTAAAAATAAATTAGATTGTTTTAAAATTGGGTAAATTAATTTAAAAAAGTGGAATTTATAATAAAATTTTTTTCACGTTGATCTTTTTTGACGTGTATGACACACTGACAGACGATTGACAGTTGACAATATTGACAGTGACTGTTGGCCAACGGTACGTTCCGAATTATTATTGGTGTTGGGTGCGTTATGTAAAATCGAATATGTAATGTTGGTAGCATAACCATTAGGTACAAATTTTAATTTGTCACAGAAAATAAAAGTAACAACGGGCACAATAGAAGCAATCAGGGGAAAACGAATGCAAACGAACATTAACTACATTTATTTTCATTATACTTTGACTATACACCGCAAGGGCGCTGGTGTTGCTAGCGCTGTTTAAACTGCATTGCTTCTTATGGGAATTAATTAAAGTGCCAACAAAGATGGTGAATTTATAATTCCAAAATGACCAAAACAATTTTTTGCCGCCCTGCAAAGTTATTGGATTCAATAATAAAAATTAACCCAAATTAGTAGATAGACAAATAGAGATAAAAGTCACCACGAGATGGAACTACCAGTCAGTGTAAAGAATTGAAACTTGGATAGATAGTTTGTGACTCGGCTAAGCGATCCAAGATTGCGGCCATCGTTTACGTGAACAAGTAGAATTTTAAATAGAAAAAACATGCGCAGGGACAAAGCCAAAAGGGCATTAAGGTTAATCTTCGCTATTATTAGTCCAAATTGAATAAAAAAGGGGGATAATGGAATATTTCGTACGATTTTTCTCTTCTACGATATTTTAATATCTTTTATACGTTCCATTAGTAGATTTCGAATCACTATGTGTTTGTTCAGCTAACTTTAAGAATAGAGTAGATATTGGTCAAATAAATCAAAATACAAAGTACATGTAAATATTTTATTTATAACGCAATAAATATTAAGTACATTATTTATTTTCACTCTTAAAACTTTAAATTGACTGGCTGTACACAAATACATATACACGAACACACACGCTCATCAAACAACAACACACATTTTTAGTAATAAGTTATTAATAATTTTGCTCATGTTCAATATATCCGATTTTTTTTTTTTCTAAAAATGAGCTATGTTTTAATATGTGTAACGGCTGACTCAAATGACATGTCAATGTCAATTGTCGAATAGATCGCCTAATTTTAGAATAAGTTACGTGTTGATTACTCGTGATACATGGCGCAGTTACTAGGATCCGAATTTACGCTTTCAAAAGGAATCTTATGTCATTTGAGTCAGGCGTAATCCACAAAAAATGTTTTAATAGTAGGCCTTGGGAAAATTGACGTATGTCGAGTGTTTAATTATTATTTCTTTTAAGTGTTCAGGTCACATACTTTGATTACTATACGAGGCAAGAGAGAGGTCCGACACGCCCAATATAGGGCGTGGCCATTTTGAACCCTGTGACACAGTTTACAGCTAAAGAATCAGATCGCTCACTCTGCGTCGGCACTTTTGATCTCAATGTTTCAGTTTATACACTGTGCAACTCGGATAATACAATATATGACAACCGCCTGTAATAAAACAGCGTATCCTGAATTTGTATCCCTGGAGTGGATGTTATTTTGGAACTTTCAACTGGTCCGAGTGAGCTAACTGATTCTTTAGCAATAAACTGTGACTTCAAAAATAATATTCACTGTCACTGACAGCAGCAAGCAAAATATCAGGTGCGTTTTAATCATCCGCTTCTGCTTCCGGAATTGTCGGTTTAGTCGTTTTAACCTGTCAGATTAAAACAAGAAAACCGACAATTCCGAAGCAGAAGCGGATGATTAAAACGCACTTATTAAAATATTGCGCCAAGATGTAGGCAACACGTAATAAGGGTTCAAAATGGCGGAGTTTTCTATCTCCTTTTAAAAGGCACTCAGAAAGCTGCGCAGTGCGACCATTCTCCGTATAGTAAAAGAAAATCAAAGCATGTTCAGGTTGAATTCAATTCAGAGCTATTACGGACATGGCTCGTGTCACTGTCACATGTCGGTCATGGCCTACTTTAGAAATATTTTTTCTAGATTTCTCTTTAATTCGTTACAATAAAGTTTCAAAGAGTTTTTTAGAAATTCACTAGGTTATAAAAAAATGAACAAAAACTGAAAAACAAAAATGCAAAAAAATACAAAAAAACTGAACGAAAATAATTTCCAAAAAGAACTACAAAAAGAATTGCAAAAAAACTGCACGTAAATGTAAAAAGCTGTTAAAAACTGCAAAAACCGAATAAACTGTAAAAAGAAAGCAGAAAAAACAGCACAAAAAACTTAACAAAAAACTACAAAAAACTGCAAAAAAATAAAAAAAAACCTTTAAAAATGTACAAAGAAACCCCAAAAACTACAAAAATAGTGAACAAAAAACTATAAAAAATACAAAAAACCTGCAAAATCAACTGCAAAAAAACTGCTCAAGGAAACTACACAAGAAAATTGAATAAGAAAACTGCAAAACACTGCAAAAAACTGTACAAGATAGCTGAACAAGAAAACTGAAAAAAAAACTGCAAAATAACTGCAAAAAACTAAAAAAAAAACTGCAAAAAACTGTAAAAAAATTGAAAGAAGCTGCAAAAAAATGCAAAAAACTACACAAATTACAAAAACTGAATAAACTATAAAAAGAAAGCAAAAAAAACTGTATAAAAAATTTAACAAAAAAACTACAAAAAAACTGTAAAAATGTACAAAGAAATCGCAAAAACGCAAAAACTACAAAAATAGTGAATAAAACACTATAAAAAATATAAAAAAATCTGCAAAATGAACTGCAAAGAAACTGCACAAGAAAGTTAAACAAGAAAACTGTAAAACACTGCAAAAAAACTGTACAAGAAAATTGAACAAGAAAACTGTAAAAAAACTGCAAAAAAGTGCAAAATAACTGCAAAAAAGTGCAAAATAACTGCAAAAAAAACTACAAAAAATTGCAAGAAGTTGTAAAAAACTGTAAAAAAACTGTGAAAAACTGAAAACTGTAAAAAGAAAGCAAAAATACTGCACAAAAAAGTTGAACAAGAAAACTGCAAAACACTGCAAAAACAATGTCCAAGAAAATCGAACAAGAAAACTGTAAAAAACTGCAAAAAACAACAAAAAAAACTCCAAAAAAACTGCAAAAATTGCAAGAAGCTGCAAAAAACTGCGAAAAACTGAAAACTATAACTGTTAAAAGAAAGCAAAAAAAATGCACAAAAAAATTTAACAAAAAACCTGCAAAAAATTTAAAAAAAAATGTACAAAGAACTCCCAAAAACGCAAAAACTACTAAAATAGTGAACAAAAAATTATAAATATTACAAAAAAAACCCGTAAAATGAATTGCAAAAAAACTGCACAAGGAAACGGCACAAGAAAATTGAACAAGAAAACTGCAAAAAACTACAAAAAACTGCAAAAACTAAAAAAACTACAAAAAACGAAAAAAAAAAACTAGAAAAAATTGCAAAAGAACTAGTAAAACTACACAAAAGTGAAAGAAAAACTTAAAGACACTAGAAAAAACTGAAAAAGAAACAGCACAAAAACTGCACAAATAAGGGTAAAAAACTGTAAAAAATAACTACAAAAAACTGCAAAATCTGCAAAAAACTGCAAAAGCTGCAAGTTAGTGAAAAGAAACTAAAATACTAGAAGAAACTGCAGAAATCTGAAAAAAAAAAATGCAAAAAAATGCACAAGAAAATTGCAAAAAAATTACAAAAAGTCTGCAAAAAACTTAAAAAAAAAAATATAAAAAAATGCAAAAAGTTGACAAAAAACTGAAAAAAAAAAAACTACAAAAAACTGCAAAAAGATCCTGTAAAAAACTGTCAAAAACACTAAAGAAAACTGCAAAAATACAACAAGAAACAGCAAAAAAATTGTACAAGAAAAAAGGAAAAAATGCAAAAAACTGCAAAAAAATATATAAAAAAAATTGCAAAAAAAACTAAGAAAAAACCCAAACTGAACAATAAACTACAAAGAAACGAAATCGTAATTTTCATAAGAATAATAAGAAATAACAAAAAATATATGTCTCAGATATATAAGATATACAGGGTGTTCGGAAATGATAAGCAAAAAATTTAAATGTTATTTCTTTTCGAAAAAAATAATACTAAAGCGTATTTTATTTGAAATCTTAAAAATAACAAAAATATAGGATATCAAAAAAATATTTTTATGATTTTTTCTTAATAACTTTTTCTAGTTTACTTGATCAATTTTAAATTTAGTACACTTATTAGTAATATTGTTTCGCAGTTTAAGACTAAATCCTTAATGTCAAAAGGAGAAGAAAATTTAAATTATCTAGAAAAAAGTTATTTAAAAAAAATAATAATTTCAATATTTTTAAATTTTCAAAAAAAAAACGTTATACAGAGTGTTTCAGATTTAAACGGACACAGCTTAATGGGAGGTAGAGTACACTTAGCTGAGTTTAAAACACCCCCATACTTAGCCATTAATCTCACTCGTTTCTGAGATATAGGGTGTTTTATGATTTTTTACCAAAACTAAATTCAGCCATTTTGTTTGAACGGCTAGAGATATTTTAATAAAAATTTGTACAAAAGTTACACTCTCTTAGGTCAATCAAAGCCATAATTTAATTTTAAAAGATTCCAGGACCGGACTCTCTTTTTTATATTGCTCTTCTTAGCTAAAATACCACCCTGTATATCGGATTTTAATAAATTTGACTGTATATTTATCGATAAGTGAGCATTTACGTTTAATAAATACTCAGGGTTTTTCAGATATTCCAATTAAAAATAAAATAATCTATGCAATTTTAGTTTATAATAATACCATTCATTCCGCAACGAAATTAAAACCCATTGACATTATTAACGGACATATTACTGATAATGAACCATTTAATATAGATTTGGATAGATTAATTTTATATGATTATGTAAATCAACATAAAAGACAAACAAAAATATTATACACTAAAATAAATGAACTCTTAAGAGAAAATAAAAAAAGACTATGTCGAAAAAATTAATAGAGATCGTCGAGACCCCAAAATATTTGAATCTTACCCCACTGCGTATATTAAAAATACAAAAAGTGCTAATAAATTTTAGAAACCAATTGCTATTAAATCAGTAAATAAAAAACGTAAAACTGTAACTACTTTAAAACATGGTAAAATACACATGAGTAACATTAAACGCCCACTGAAAAGACTTTATTCTTTCGATAACTAAATTTTATCTTTTCAGGTTATCTGGTATAATAGGACTACCAGACACCATAAAATAAAAAAATTTAAGTGAAAATCCTGGACTTTTACCCTTAAAACTTGACAATGCAAAAGTAATTAAATATTATCATTCAATAATTTATTATTAAGATTTAAATCATTTACTTAACGAAATCAGTGGACTAAAAACTAAATTATTTCAAATTACTACACTTTTTAGAAGATAAAATAGAAATTAGATTAAATGAAATTATACCACATCCCCAAAGAATAAAAAGAAGATTAATAAATGAAGTAGGTTCTATATTTAAATCTAGATGCCAGTGATGAAGAACATTACGAGAAACTGATTGAACAGCTTCAATCAAATCAAAATAAACTAAAAGACTCTATTAAAACTTAAATTTCATTAGCAACATCGCTAATAGATAAATTCAATAAAACAGTTTGAACAATAAAACATAATCAAGATTTATTAGCTAGTAAACTTGATACAATGACCATATTAGTACAAGACCAATTTAAATAGGAAAATAGCATTTATATAAAAGATACAATGATCCAAATTATTATTATGTATGAGTTATTAAATTCAATACTGTAAGATATTGAAAACTCGATTGTTTATTAAGTTAACAATTTGTTATAATAATAATAATAATAATAATACTCTCCCTAATTCACCCCAAAAGCTGAGCTTGTCCGGGGAAAAGAACGGCTATTATTATTATTTGCCGTGGCGCTCCGGGGCGACTTAAAGATGATTGATGGTGCCATTTGACTTACAGGTGAGGTAAAACCCGGAAAACCTCACCCACCATCATCGAGACGGTAATGTATGGCGAATTTTTTTAATCTGCATGTCATATCAACAGAAATTGAATTTCTATTAATACGCCACATATCAAATCCTAAACCGAACCATGCAATTTAATTAAAAATCCACATGGTCTGGTCTGGGATTCGAAACCCAGCAGTCTCAGACTCATAAACTTGCCTATAAATGAATATAAGCGCGATAGACCGCTACACCACCGTGCCCAAACAAAGTTGCAGCAGCTGATCTATTTGTTGATATAACTTTTAAACTATTGAAGATACGACAATAAACATTCAAGTCATTTTTATAGGCAATGAAATTATCTCTCAGATCAGTCATTTATTTACGGAGCTACAAGCCGCAAAAGTTCGAAAAACTTAAAAAAAATCAATTTTTATAAACAAATATAAAAAACAACAAATTGACAATAGGTACGGAATTTACAAATGACTTATCTGAGAGATAATTTCATTGCCTACAAAAATGACATGAATGTTTATTGTCGTATCTCCAATAGTTTAAAAGTTATATCAACTTTTAAGTCAACAAATGGATCAGCTACTGCAACTTTGATTGTACGTACATTTTCAAAGTTTAATAAAAAATGGAATAAAATTTTTTCCGTAATTTTAATGCACTAAGTCGTTTTTGGAATTTTTATTTCTTTCAGGAAAGAAATAAACCAAAGTTGGGAATTTGTTTATAACAAATTGTTAACTTAATAAACAATGGAATTATTAATAAACAAAATTTTTTTTGCTGTCACTTTGTAGAGGACTGTCAATTATGATTTAAAAAAAAACACATTTCTTAACTAATAATTTAAACAATAGATATATTAAAAAACCGATTATAAACAAAAGTAATTATTAAGAAAAAATTTTTTTTTTAAAATAATAATTGGCAATTGTCTAGAAAGTTGTTAAAAAAATTGAAAAAAATTGAAATACTATAAAAAATTTATAAACAAATGAAGAAAAAATTTTTTTTTGTTAATTAATAAATGTCTTTTCTCGACATTAAAACAGTAACATTATAATAAATTGAAAAAAAAATTTTTTTTTCTAGCACCACTGTGACTTTTCTGTTTTTGTAAACTTTAAAAAATTATTATAAACAAAGTATTAACATTTTTTAAACTTTTATGAAGTTAAGCAAAAAAAATTTACAGTAATTATTTAATATTTTTATTAATTTGTAATGATGAGAGAAATTCTAAAAATTTTGTTAATTAACAATAACCTACTTTGTTGGAAAATTAATGTTTATGAAAATTCCAACGGGAATGAATTTTTCTAAGTGTTTAGAATACACCGTAATTTTTTAAAATGTTTTAATTTAATTTTATTAACTTAAAAAAATTATTTTATGTAACGTACTCGGTTTCGACTACGTGCGCGCAACCTAAAAATGGCGCGCGGAAGGCTACTTTGAGCGTTAAATTAAAATTATAAATAATGTAGGTACAGTTCCGGAAGTCAGAACTTATTTATAGCAAATTTCCTCCGCTTTAAGGATCTTTTTTTAAAAATTCAAAAATTTTTATAGTCAAATTCATTCGAGAATCAACCTATTCTATTTCCAAAAATGGACGACCATAGTCAAATTGCAACCTATCAATCTAGATGACCCTCAAACTCTACGAGAAAATATAATTCAAAATCAACCAAATTTTGAATCCAAAACCATTCCATATATACCAAGCTCATGGACTATTATTATTTATATTATATTAGTTTTCATCCTTATCTTCTGGCTATTTAAAAGATGGAAAAAACTTAAAGAAAATCCAAGAGGGACAGAAGAAAGTTTCAACCTACAAGATGTCCATCTTCCTCGTTAGCCCTCGGAACCTGGATCTTCAGGGGGAGGAGTTATATCACCCATACTATATGAGACTATATAAAATATACGATTTAGCATAGTTAGCATTTTAGAATAGTTTGTTTATATAAAAGTAGTTTATTCAGTTCCAAGTTAGCATTCAAACCATAAACATCTAAATTTCTTGTATTTTAAATAAAATAAAACTTTTTAAAAAATCATTTTCGGTTCAAGATTTCATTTCTAGTATAACTTTTGTACATAAAACACCCTATATCTCAGAAACGAGTAATATTTAAGGATAATTAAGGGGATGTTTCGAACTCAGCTAAGTATACTTTACCTCCCATTGCGCTGTAACAGTTTAAATCTGAAACACCCTGTATAAACTTTAGTATTAATTTTTCGAGCAGATTCAACACTTAAATTTTTTGCTTATCATTTCCGAACATCCTGAATATTGGGATAACTGACGCCTCAATGACCTTAACTGTAGTTGAAGGACGTACATATCTGTAACTGTAAGATTTTTTATCAAAAATTTTTGTACTTTGAACAAAAACCAAAAAAAACATTATCATAATAAATAACGACATCTCAAAAGTCACCAGGTCACACCAATTTAATTTTATTATCTTCACAATTATTTTTATTTATTAACACATCGACAGCCTAATTCCCAAAGGTTCATCAGTAAACTTCAGGAACTGTGATGTAGTCATCGATATTTATAACGTATTTTAAAACTACTTTTTTTCCCCTCTGAATTGACCTTTCTATCTTTATGTATGCACATAATCGTAAATGCTTAGAAATGCTTTGTGAATCAGGCTATGAGTCATCAACGAATCTGTATTATTAACTCATGTTTGGTCTTTAGGACTCCGGCACAAAATCGTGGTGGTACTGATGATGGTGATTAGCATGAAAATAGCGAGAAGAACTCTGTCTAAAACGATCGATGTTTGTTTCCATTCTAATTCCGTCAGTTCTTTTCTGTCTTGATCTGTCATCCTGTGATCGTTCTTGTCGATGCTGGCGTGCACTTTGTTTAGAATACGGATGATTTGGTTCTCGAAAGCATCTGAAAAAAATAAGAGAAATTAATTGTATACGATTATATTCCTGCGCCATACCATAAGACATACAATTAATGATTTTGTAATAATATATATGACTTCTGTTAAATGTATTTTCAAAAAGAATACATATAAATAGAGCTTGAAAAATATGCACTTAAAAATGGTCTAAGTATATATGCATTTATGCGTTAACAATAGACAAAAAAATAAGCTTTTAAATATGCAAAATAAAAAGACAGTCATTTTTGATATTTAAATTTTATTATAGACTTTTATCAATTACATCTATTATTATTATTAGAATGAAAACAGTAAGTTATTAAATATTTTTCAATGTTTTCAATAGTGAAGCATTGCCTTCTATCACTTAAAATATGTTTGTACGTTATAGGTGTATATTTAAATTTTGAAATTAAAAGTGATGAAATATTTGAATCCAATTCATTATTAGAGTTGCCAGATAAAACATTATTTATGCTCTCTAATGTCTGAAATCCTTTATTATTTAGTAATACTGATGCAAATTTTCGTGTAACATTATTTTCCATTAAGAGGAAAATTTACATTACAAACTGAAAGACCAGGGGGGCAACGATAGTTTAGTAGGTATAAAAATTACAACTTATTCATTCATTCATATTTTTAACAATTGCATGTACATACGAGGGATATGTATTCTAAACTCTAACGCGCGAAGTTGAGGCAAAGGAACCGAAAAATCCTACCACAACTGCCGACGTTCATTAGTTCTTGAGTGAGTCAGAGTTACCTAAAATTAGGGAAACCAGAATCGTATTTGTTTTTCTTGATGCATTGTGAGATATTGTTATACCACAGTTCGATTTTTTAGAGAGTTTTACATTATTTTTATATTTTAATTTAGTGAATAAATTTAGTTAGATTAAATTACATTTAGGAGTATAAAGTTGTGAACTATAAATACAAATAACGAAAAAATAGACGATTGGTTCGAATAATACAGGGTATTTATTAATTGAGTGCCGATCCTTAAGGGTGTGAATCTTTGGGTGATTTTAAGACGAAAAGTAAATATCAACATATGTCGTAAACCTCTTAATTTTTGAGCTACAGAGTGTTAAAGCTTTAAGAAAAAATAACTATTTTATCATGTTTCTTATCACTCTAGATATTTTTATTAAATTTAGCCCAAAAAAGTGTTTCCACTCATGGTGGGTTCCTACCAAATTTCAACAAAATATCAAAAGCAGTTTCAATAAACTGTTATTACTTTCCTATCTGTATACAGATATAAGGAAAGTATAGGAATCATAATTTTTTTCGACCTCCAGTTTTTGACGGATTTTTAAGTTTTGGGGTCCCCTGAATCCGTTTTGACTATTTTCGGGATGATGTCTGTCTCGTGTGTGTGCGTGCGTGCGTGGGTGCGTGCGTGGGTGCGTGTGTGTGTGTGTGTGTGTGTGTGTGTGTGTGTGTGTGTGTGTGTGTGTGTGTGTGTGTCTGTGTGTCTGTGTGTCTGTGTGTCTGTGTGTGTGTGTGTGTGTGTCTGTGTGTCTGTGTGTCTGTGTGTCTGTGTGTCTGTGTGTCTGTGTGTCTGTGTGTCTGTGTGTCTGTGTGTCTGTGTGTGTCTGTGTGTGTCTGTGTGTGTCTGTGTGTGTCTGTGTGTGTCTGTGTGTCTGTGTGTCTGTGTGTGTCTGTGTGTGTCTGTGTGTGTCTGTGTGTGTCTGTGTGTGTCTGTGTGTGTCTGTGTGTGTCTGTGTGTCTGTGTGTGTCTGTCTGTGTGTGTCTGTGTCTGTCTGTGTCTGTCTGTGTGTGTCTGTGTCTGTCTGTGTGTGTCTGTGTCTGTCTGTGTGTGTCTGTGTCTGTCTGTGTGTGTCTGTGTCTGTCTGTGTGTCTGTGTATGTGTGTCTGTCTGTGTGTCTGTGTCTGTCTGTGTCTGTCTGTCTGCCTGTCTGCCTGTCTGTCTGTCTACCTGTCTGTCTGCCTGTCTGTCTGTCTACCTGCCTGTCTGTCTGTATCCACCATAACTCATGAACCGATACAAAGAAAAACACCACATTTTAAACTTACGCTTTATTCGGGTTTGCGGTGAACTGATTAGATTTTGGGCAGAGTCGGAACATCTGGGAGGGTACTTTATAGGTGGTTATTTTTATATTTTATGGAATATATCTGTTATTTACGTTTGGAGAAGAAAATTCTTCAAATAAAAGTTACTTACAATATTATTAAGAATATTTATTTATACAAAATCTGAAAAAATTTGCAAAATTCTGATTTTTAAGGAAATTGTTGGACTAAAAGTTGTTTGCGATATCGATCTCTATAATTTTTGTTTATACATAATTTTTCTAAAATAGACCGTAATAAAAAAATTGTAGGAAATTTAAATTTTTCAGTATTTTCGTTTTCAATGAATATCTATAGAAAAATGTTTCGAGGTAGATATATGTGGATAATGTATATAATTAGTTTATCCTCTAAACATTTATAGAGATGCTGCAATAGGTTGTACAAAATAACCGGAAAAAGCCTATAATAACTAGATAGGAAAGTCATGTGTTGGACACATCAGATTTTTATTAAATATTTCCAAAAATATTATGTTTTTGTTTTTAAGTATAAACTTAATGTACAGCAAGTAAAAAGCTGTAAACAGTTTTAAAAATTAAAATTATAAATGTGTCAATTAGTAATTTTTATATGCTGTACACTTGAATACGAAAAAAGAATAAATGCTTAATTTTTTCGAAACGTAGTGTATTTGCTTGACCCCTTGAAAAAATCGTATTACATTTTTTATATAATTGTTTAAACTTTTATTTTTACTACTATCAAAGTTACATTATTTATATTGGCGTCAGCAACTGCTCTGATTTATTTCAATAACGTCTACAAAATCTTAGCTCTTTAATTTGCATAGTTTTCAAATTTATTAGAAAATAAAATTAAACGCAATTAAACTCTCACCTTAATAAACATTTAAAATGAGTTTTAACTGATAATCTTCTAACCTTTCCAAAAAAAATAACATTATTTTGCTTTGTAACAAATTAATAACTGTTGGGAAATTCCTAAACAAATGTTTATCATTTATTTTGCAATTTATCATTTTAAAATAATTTTAAGCATCATTTTCGCTAGTAGTTATCAATCTGTTGTCCCGGTCGAATAATTTTTTTTTTTAAATAATAAGTGTTCAACAAAATGTTTGTGATTCGATTTGTTTTGGTGTCTTGTTTTGGTTTAGTGATTTTAAAAAGTGTAGAGGCTGAATTTATAAAAGGTTATGCTGGTGGTGTGTTAGTTTGTGAGAACGTTACAAAAATTACTCGAGAAGTTTTGAACGAAAATTATGAAAACTTTAAATCGATAAGGATATGGAACACCTCCGAACCTTTTGGAATATCTCCATTTACAAACATGAAAAACTTAAAAATTATTCAAATTGGTGGAAGCCGAATTGGAATAATATATTCTGAAACTTTTAAAGATCTATCACATTTACAATATGTATATATAGATCATGTTATAATAGGCGATATTCAAGAATCAGTGTTTTACAATTTACCCCAACTGGAAAAAGTAGAGATAATGTATACGAATATTCCATTTTTAAGAAAAGGCATTTTCCGTAATGTCCCACAACTTTCCTTGATATACCTTCAAAACAATAACATACGTTATATAGAAAATGAGCCTTTTTACAACGTACCATACTTAAAAGTACTTTTACTTCATAACAACTTGTTAACTGTTGTAACAAAAGATATGATGTATAATCTGGCTAATTTGGTACATTTAAATTTGGCTAACAACAGTATATCAATAATAGAAAAGAATAGTTTTGACGCAACTCCAATTCTAACGAAACTTAATTTAGAAGATAATCAACTGAAAACACTTGATTTGGACATATTTCCTTCGACCGGAATGGAAAATTTAAAAGTGATTTATTTAAATAGTAATCAATTGATGTATCTTCCATCCAAATTTTTTACGAGAACACCCGCTTTAGAGGAAATTGGTCTGAGTCACAATCCATGGTTTTGCCCTTGTCTGTTTAAAATCTATGGGATTTTAAATCGATCCAACATTAGGGAAGTTTGGGTTAAGGAGATCTGCATAAAATCTCGTGATAATCCTTGCAAGAAACCAATGCCTTTTAGTCCCTGGAGACTTCCCATTTGCATCAATAGAAACGTCTTAGACATTAATTGTATAAATACATATAGTCCAAAATTAAGTGGAAAGTATTTGAAGTACACCAAAGATTACAATGAATTTTTTGGACACGACATCAAACTCTTGTACTAAGCTTTAATATATACATTTTATTTTTGGAAAATTTTTATATTTATAGTAGGTACCTGCCAGTTACTCTTATCTGTTTTTTTTTTGTGTTTAATTGATAAAAATATTTTAATCTATTGAAATTATTTCTGTTTATTTTATTGAACTTTACTTGGCAGGTGTTAAATCATGGGCGTAACAATTAAATATTGGTTTATTATTTTTGTTCTTGTGTTTACCATTAGTTACAATTTTGGTTTTGAATATTATTTGCAGGGGTCATTCATGCATGCATTTTTATAAATTTTCTTCTTTTTATTGATTTACTAAATCGTTGAGAAGATAAAACTTGTTGAAATTTTGACTGAATATTTTTATGAAAAAATTTTCTTTTGCTTTTTTTAATGCACAATCACTGTGTAATAAATTTGATGAATTTAAAACTTTTATTTTTCGCGAAAATTATGATGTTATAGGAGTTGGAGAAACCTGGTTTAATAAAAATATTCTAGACCATACTATACACATTTTATTGCCGTATCAGTAAAAAACCTTTTCTGACAAAAACTAGGCGAGAGTTATAAATTCCAAAATGGAACTTTTATTTTTAAAAATGTTATTAAGTATAAAATACACTTAAATGGATATCTGTACTAAAGCTACTTCAAATAACACTCACACTCACCCTCACACTCACACTCATACTCACACTCACACACACAGAGATCATCGCGAAAATAGTCAAAACGGATTCAGGGGACCTCAAAACGTAAAAATCTTTCGAAAAGTCGAGGTCGAAAAAAATCATGATTCCTATACTTTCCTTATATCTGTATACAGATAGGAAAGTAAAAAGTAATATAATCAATATAAATCAATAATAAAACATAGGCAGGTACTTATGAGAAAATGTATGGGATCTTGCCTAAGCCTAATAAATTATCATTGAAGAATAGGTTAAATAATGTCAAAATAAAAACATAACCTATATAATAACGTAGAATTAAAACGTATTAACAAAAATAATTGGTATATTTGTGATTGTAATTTATATTTTCTTCTTTTTAGTTTGAAAGAATCATAGGAAATTAATGATTAAAACTGGTTTCCTATTAATAAGTCACAAGATTGCATTTCAGCCACATAAAATATTCAAAGGCAGAAATCTAATCATTTGCTAAACATTTAAGATTGAAGAATATCATAAAATAATAATTTAATGTTTATTTAAAATTTATATAATTTACAGTTTTTTTGGTAGTTGCAACATAGCAACTTTGGTGGCTCATTTTATTGTTTTTAACATAATTTTTTTTAGTAAAAAGTAAAATGTATACGTGTATTTAATACGCCAAAATTACAAAATATCGCGCTAAAGTACTCGAATTATCCGCAGCTTGCGCTAGTATCGCTTTTGCTTCCCCTACTATGACTTTGCACTGATCGAATAGGCCGCAGCCATTTTTTAACATGCCTTAGCGTGCTAAACATTCTTTCGATTAACTCTGTCGTTGGTGGAAGAGCCATAATTAATTTTTAAACTACTTTGTATGTCTGGATAAAATTCACAATATTTGGACACTATATCATTGTGAGATCATTGTGTGCAGAAAGCTCTTTCGTATTCCAGTTTGGTATTCAGCTTCAAAATTGTCGATTCCCAATTTTTCCACTACTTTCATTTTCTAATCGGTAGTGAAAGAAGAATAACTAGCTTAAGGAAAAACTAACAGAGTTTTTGGAAAAGCGTGATGTAAGCTATGCAATAAATATATTCAACCTATAATATTCTTCAACTATATTAGCCTGAATATTATTATTTCTATGAGATTGTTGTTCGTAATGCATGTCTAACGCGTTGTTGATTAAGTCGTAAAAGCTCATGGATATAGCTGTTTTTTATAGCAGTGATACATGTCAAAATATTAATAAATTTACCAGACTATAAGCTTTGAGAAAATGCTTTCCTTTTAAATTCGACACAAGTAATTACTAAAGGCAATTAATTTGTTGAATGGGACGCGTCGTAGAGGAAAACTCTAACTTTGATGAGTTTCTTAACTCGATTGAAAAGGGCTACGTTTCCTATTTATACTTTGTTTCTTGTTTTTGGCTTAGAGATAAATTATTAAATTAATTGCAAATTCGGGTAAATTATTCGAGATTATCGAATTAGAATTATTACAATGTTATAACAACTTACTGTGTTTTCATTCATTCTGTTGGTTAATAATATTTAGGTAATCGGCTACTAAAGATTTTAATATGGTCTGTGTAATAAATTATCACGATTATTTGAATTTAAATTTTAAATAAAATAAGCTTGAAAGAAGAAAAAATAATATTTAGAATTATTTCCAAACTAGGTTTTTAAAAAATAAATAAAGGAGTTATGTATTGGCGCCCTACTATCCTGAAAAAAAATTCCCCAAAGTTGTCTATTAGAAAAACTCGAATTCACGACTGATAAAAATATAGTCTCATCTGTTTATTTGTTTTTTTGATTGAATTACGGTAATTGTTTGGTATAATATTATCTAAGAGTTACTCAAAACTAAATATAATTGATTTACTAAAGAAATTAAACGTTAACTATATCTAATTAACAATTATTATTGGTTCTAGAATTTCCTGATTAAAACATAGTAACTAATTTTTCTATAGTAAATTATAGTAAAGTAAAAATTCACTTAATAACAAAGAGTTTAAACATTATTTACAAAATTAAATATATTGTATGAACCTACATTTTTAAAAAAACATTTGGGGCCTATAGGTTGATATAACGTAAAAATAATAATATATACAGGGTGTTATTGAAATACACGTACATATTAAAACTGGGTATTGCGCAGATCCCCACTGAATGTAGAAAAATATTATTTTTTAAAAATACCCCTTATTAAGGGAGTTATTAATTTTTGAAAATTAATTCTAAAACAAACGTACTTCACTGATATGTTGAGGATGACCTATATAAATTAGGTTTATTTACCTATTTTAAACATCAACAGTAATTAATATGCAAGTTTTTGTCAGATGATAAGAAAACTAGTCTTGTAAGAAATAACCATGTTGCCAAGATTTTCGAATTAATTTCTATTTCCGAAGACTGGTTTTTACTACCCTCGTTATCAAAAAACTAGAATATTTGATAAATGATTGTTTTTAAACTATACATTTTTGAAACTATAGATTATTAAAATTTTAGTTGATTTACGAATCTGGCTAACACGAGCGCGTCATTTCCAAGTTGGTAAAAAGTGTTGTTACGATTACTTTTAAATATTTTTTTACGATGCCACTATTTACGAATATTGAACTAACGGATATAGTGCTGGTTTATGGGGCAGCTGGAGAAAATTCTCGGCAAGCACAAATCCTGTATCGCGAACGGTTTCCAAATCGGAGAATTCCGGACTGTCGTACGTTTATTTCAACTGTTCAGCATCTAAGAGACCATGGAAAATTTGAGAGTGTCAATGCAGATCGAGGGAGAACAGGAACACAAAGAACATTGGCGGCCGAAGAAGAAATATTGGAAGCTGTTGAAAACCGGCCTCAATTAAGTTGTAGAAGACTAGGTCTTGAAATTGGAGTGTCCTCATTTGTTGTGTGGCGGACACTTAAAGAACAAGGTTTACATCCTTATCACATCCAAAAAGTCCAGGCCTTATATCCAGGTGATGAAGAAAAGAGAGTGGAGTTTTGTGAATGGATGATTCAAAAATGTGTTGATATTCCTGATTTTCTAAAAATATTATTGTATACTGACGAGGCTTCATTCACTCGTGATGGCGTGTTCAATATGCACAATACGCATATTTGGAGTGATGAAAATCCTCACGCCATTAGGGAAACTGGGCATCAAAGAAAATTTTCAATAAATGTTTGGGCTGGCATAATAGATCAGTATTTAATCGGGCCTTATGTTCTCCCGAACAGATTAAATGGGCCAGGATATCTCCACTTTTTAGAAGATATTTTGCCAGTACTCCTAGAAGAGATACCGTTACAATTAAGGCAACGGATGTGGTACCTACTAGATGGCGCTCCTCCTCACTTTGATTTAAACGTACGGCAGTTTTTGAACATTAGATTTCCTCAAAAGTGGATAGGCAGAAATGGACCTACTAAGTGGCCTCCGAGATCTCCGATCTCCGGACTTAAATCCATGCGATTTCTTTTTGTGGGGTCACATGAAACAACTGGTTTATAATGAACCTATTAATAGTGTTGAACAATTAACCAATAAAGTTAATGCGGTAGCCGAGGAACTACGACAAAATCCAAGACTAATTTCTAATGTTCAAAGTTCTTTGGAAAGACGATTGCAAGTGTGTGTAAATAATAATGGACGGCATTTTGAACAATTACTGTAATATACTTTATTTTGAATTAATTGGTTTTGCTACGGCAACAGTGCAATTTCTATGGGTAAGTTCAATTTCGATTTATTTTACTTCTTTAAATATGGAAACTAGTAGGTCGGAAAAGGGGACTCTTCCCCAATATTTAAATTTTAGAATTTGAAGTTAAAATTGGTGCCAATCGTTTTTGGTTATTACATACTATTCCCCATTTTAATATGTACGTGTATTTCAATAACACCCTGTATAATCCGTTCTACATTTAAACAGTTTGCTTTACGTCACAAAGTTTACCTTTTGTTTCTGGTTCTTCATTAATTATTTATGTATATTAATTTAGCATGTACTAATGGTAATCGAGTTACTGTCACTTTAATTTTGTGACTAGTTAACATTAAGTTTCTGCACTTTCAACTTAGATGTAGTTTTTCCAACGACTTTGACACACATTTTGAACTTTTGATATAATTGAATTTATCACTGGTTAAAAGATCAACAATTTTTGAAAAATGTACCGCACTTACTGCTCCGCGACCATATTTATTGGCTTCCTAATTTCAATAATTCCGATATAATATTTTTTATTCTCATTTTCCAATTCTTGTATATTGTAGTGCCAGTCAACTTTAATAAATATATCTCTTTAAACAGAATGGATATTTATATTTTTTTTTTATTAGAAAAACCACAACTTACAATCTTGTTTAAAAATTGTATTAAATTTTCTCCTCGTCTTCTGATTCTTCGCTGTCCTCTTCAAAAACTGACTTTAAAGTTTAACCAAATCTTGGTTTGGTAAAAAGCCTAAGGATTCGTCTATTGGAGACAGTGTCAGAATAGGAATAGCATTTTTTAGTTAAATTGTAATATTATCCTTTGTTAAACCAAATAATATTGCATATGACTTGTTTGAATTTAAAGCAAATCGTGTTTACTAGACTGGTCAATAAGATTCTTTAAATCACTGCCGAGAAAATTCCAGGTATAACTCAATGTATGAACAACTTCCAATCTACGCCCAACAGCACAACCAAATTACCATATTCAAGAGAACTTAATGATGAAGATGAAAATTATTTACATTAGCTTGCTGCGTTGTCAACATCATCTCTTATAGAAAAAGTTAAAGAAATACATGACATTGCCTATCAGTTGGGAGTTGAGGAGTCAAAAGAAGTGACTCGGAGGAAATATTTAAACTTTTTTTACTCTGAAAAAACTAATAAATGAAAATTTGTATTGTTATGAACAGTGTTATTTATGCCAGCTCTGAATCCCATCCAGTACAACACAGTTCATAATAAAATGGAAACAATAGTTGACAAGGTATTTCTAGAGGAGTTGAGAAAAGCCGGTGAAGAAGAAGCGGCAATAGCTCAAGAAAAAGGAGATGTCGATTCGACTGGCACGCCATATATAACAGTTATTGCAGATGGAGCATGGTCTAGAACAGCGGTACTCAACCTTTTTTTCTTTCCGGCTATATAAATCTGTTTGTAATGCTACACATGCCACCAACATACTTTTTTTCTCCCCTACTTGAATTACTCTTTCTAAAAAAAAGTCTCCAACCGAAAAAAAACCTTAGTTTACACTTAACTTTCCTCATTTCTCATGCAAAACAATTTCTAATAGAAATGCTTGGAGGGCCACAAAAAAAAAGTTCGAGGGCCGCATAAAACAGCTTGGACGCGCGGGCCACAGGTTGAGTATGGCTGGTCTAGAAGATCATATAAGACAAATTACAACAGTTTATCTGGGGTAGCTGTTATTATTGGAGAAGCCACCAAAAAGGTTCTATTTATGGGAGTGAAAAATAAGTTTTGCACAATATGCTTAAAATTTGAAACTAAAAATGAACATGCACCTCAACATCAGTGTGCCAAAAATTGGAAAGGTTCATCGACATCTATGGAGAGTGCGATTATTCTTGACGTAGCGTTGAGATGCATGGATCGCTAGTTGGTGATGCAGACAGTAGCATAACTAAACAATTGTCTTCACACAAACTTTATGGAGCCACACCTATTCAGAAAATTGAATGTGTAAACCATTTACTAAGGAATTTTTGTAATAAATTAAAAGATTTGTCAAGTCCATCAAGCCATCTAATAATTCCGTTAAATTTGAGAAAAAAATTGGAATCAAACATATTAAGATTTCGAATATCAATTAAAAAGGCGGCTGCTTTTCGTATTCAGATGACTGTACCTCTGGCTGAAAAAATACCATTGTTTCAGAATGACATTAAAAATTTTGTGGCCCATATATTCGGTGAGTATTCCAATTGCGAAGAATATTTTTGCAAAGGAACAATAGACCAGGAAGAAAATATAATGCCAGAATTAATAAGATGTGGTTTTATTGATGATATTATGGCGTGTCTGTAAAGAGTTTTAAATAATTCATATTAATTTTTAATTAATAAAAAAAAACAATGCAGCGGAGCAGTTTAATGGCCTTGTTAACAAATTTGTTGGAGGGAAAAGGGTAAGTTAACATTTTTTACTACATTGCCAATTTAACAAATACTTTCTAATTTAGAGTCTTTTCATTCTTTGTCTTTTTAAATAGTTATAGGTAATGTTTTATACTATAACTCTCTACATATTTACGAAAATTCTTCTATAAAGAAAAAAAACATATATTTTTGCATATCCGGGAAGTTTGTTGTGATCTTTTTGAAGATTACACATTATACTATAAATAATGTCGCCATTGTAGTTACATTTAGTTTTTTGGTTTCAGATTAACTTTTCGTTCAAAGGATCCTATTTAACGAGGTGTCAGTTGGCAGCTATTTTCTATAATTCGAAAGATACCTACCTTCAACAAATATGTAGTAAATGCGTTCGGAGAAGCTATGGGAGATTATATACAAAAAATTTTAACAAGAAGAAAACTCAAGCGAAATAGAACTCAAAAGTATAAATGTAAACTGGGATATAAACCAAAATTAATTATTTCAATTGCTGATAAAGATTATAGGGCAGTGGAAGATGTCGTAAATGAAGAACAACAGAATACTCGAAAAGAAAAGCTCCAGAATATCTTAAAAAAACAATGTCAGATAAAATTAATTTAGAAATAATCACATTTAAATCCGTTATGGCATCAGGAACGACAGTATAGGCTGACTGCATCTAATTTTGGAATGATTTGTAGATTGCGAGAAACGACGGATCGTCTTACAGTAGCAAAGAGAATGTACAGAACAAGATTTACTGGTAATAGAGCTACGCGATATGGTCAGGACAATGAAGCCACAACAATTCGTGCATTTGAGGACTTGACAGGTTTAACTGTTATACCTTATGGCTTATTCATTGGAACTGAAGAAGAATATTTCCTAGCTGCTAGTCCAGATGGTTTAATTTAAGACGACAACAATTTTACTATTGAAGTGAAATGTCCCTTTGTCCTCAAATGCTGCTCAATAGAAAAAGGAGTAGCTGTAAAGAAAATTACATTTCTTGTCTATGATGAGGAGGGGTTGTTGTATTTAAAAAACACTCATCCGTATTATTACCAAATACAAGGGCAGCTACATCTTTCAGGCAAGGAATATTGTTATTTTATTGTCTGGTTTCCTTTAGGCCCTATCCATGTTAAAGAAATTTGCAGAGATGATGAGTTTTGGAAGAACAAAATGTCCTAAAATATTTTTTTTTATTACGATGCTTATTTAAAAGAAATAATTAAAGATGTTATATAACTTCTATGTGGTTTTTGAAATTCCTATTTCCTATACTATACCGTATTTAATTAAATTTAAATAATATACATAACTTATGGTAGCAATATATTGAATAAAAATCTTGAAAAGATAGGTAAAAATGATGTGCTATAAAAGAGAATAAATAATGTCTAATATATTTAAAATAAATACCTAAAAATATTTTTTATTCCAACGAATTTAAACAATCTGAATTTGAATGATCGATGAATTAAAAAAGTTGAACACTCCTAGTAAAATATTTTTTAATAAAACGATAGGCAGTATTAAATCAATTTATATTAAAATCCTCAATTATTTACTGCCACTTCCCAATATTTTAAGGGAATAATTTATATAATCTTAGAAATCTTTAAAATATTAGTTTTCAATTCACCAACAATTCTGTTTTTAACACTTAGTCCCCAACATAATTTATTTCTAGAGAAGTTGTTTTAGGATTTTCATTTCAATCTGGTTGGTTAAAAATATTTTCTTCAATGATTGCAACGAGCTTCGGTTGATATTATTACAACTTTTTCTAATTTATATGAACTTCATATTGAAATGCATTAAAATTTTAAAAGAAAATAATATTAATTTCCCGACCATCCCGCGAGAACCGCATAAATTAATGATGTACATAGGAAACTGTTGTTAATGAACATTCTAGAAACGTTTCGCGATAAATTAATCATCCACAAATTTGCCGATATCGTTACTAGTCTGAACATTAATATTCCATTTCACGTGACACATGGCTGTCTTTTACGGACCACCCACTATTAGATTAGTTTCAGTGCTCTTCTTGTAGAAGTGGAATTACAACAACGAAATGAAAAGGGATTAATTGTATAGAGGGATGAGAAAACAAGCTTTTCCGAAAGCTTGGACATTTTTGCATGTAAAAAATGTATGATTAAAAATATTTTATCTTTAACAATGTAAAAAAATGATGCACAGCATGTAATGCAATGTAGACAATAGTCCAATCAAATAGACCTTTGAATTAAAATTTTGGAGGAAATACAGGAATTTTTGATATAAGCCACTTTAGAGTATTTGAAAACGACAGGTAAAAAAATTTTTCAGGCACCGGCAAATGTCAAAAAACAAGAAAATAAAGTGTTTTTTTAAGGTTATTTAAAAATGGTAGGTGTTATAAAAAAAAGTTTTGAATAAAAATTGTAAAGCATAAAGTTTTACATAAAAATGATATTTGACATTTTTTGTAATTATTAAAACTGACAGAGTTAGGGTGGTTAGAAATTAGGAAGAGATATATATGACTTGGAAAAATCATAGCAAGCTGAAAAGAATGAGATATCAAAATGAAACAATATTTTATAGAAACATTAAGTAGATCAATGTTCTTTATTTCCCAAAATATTAAACTCATTGGCTTACGTAAAAGGGGTGTTAAAGCGGTTTGAATATTTAAAAAGATCGTAAAAAATAGACGATTGGACTAAATCAAATAAATTTGCATTTAGAATAGAGGCCCCTTTACAATCACAAACAATATTAAAGTCATTGGTGTACATTAAGGGTGTGTTACAGGGGTTTGAAACTTAAAATAAGTAAAATATCTGTTATTTACATTCGGAGAAACAAATTCTTCAAATAAAAGTTACTTTCTATATTATTCTCTATAATTTTGGTCCTATACAAAATTTTCCTAAAATGGACCGTATTCGAGATATTTAAGAAAAAGTGTAAATTTCGAATTTTCAAGAAAACTCAAAAACGGATAAAGAAAAAAACATTAAATTTGAAAATTAAGTTTTATTTTGACCTGAGGTAAACTGATTAAAATTTGGACAGAATCAGAACACCTGGGAGGTCGTTTTTATGAAATATATCTGTTATTTACGTTTGGAGAAGAAAATTCTTCAAATAAAAGTTATTTCCTATATTATTCTCTATAATTTTTGTTTTTTACAAAATTTCTCTAAAATGGACCGTATTCGAAATATTTGAGAAAAAGTGTAAATTTCGAATTTTCAAGAAAACTCAAAAACGGACAAAGAAAAGACAATAAATTTTAAAATTAAGTTTTATTCTAACCTGAAGTAAACTAAAAATTTGTCAGAATATCTGGGGGGTATTTTATGTGAGGTCGTTTTTTATAAAAATAAATAAAAACAAATAAAAATAAATAAATTAAATAAAATTAGGTAAATTATTAAATATAAAACAATAAAAAGTAAATAAAATTAAACAAAAATAAATGAAAAGATAAGTGTAAAAGAAAATAAATAAAAATAAATAAAAATAATTAAAAAAAAAATAAAAATAAAAAAATAAATAAAAAATAAAAAAATAAATAAAAATAAAAAATAAATAATAAAAAATAAATAAGTAATAAAAAAATTAAAATAAATATTTTTTATTTTTATTAATTTTTTTATTTATTTATCTTGGTTTTTTCTTGGCTTTTTTTCTTCATATTTCTTGGCATTTTCTCTTAGCTTTTTTCTTGACTTTTCCTTTTTTTTTGATTTTTCATTTTTTTTTCCTTTTTTCTATTTTTCTTGTTTCTCTTTCTTGTTTATTTTTCGTTCTTAATTTTTTCTTTTGATTTTTTCTTTCTTGTTTTTTCTTGTCTCTTATTTACTGTTTTGTTTTTCTTCACTTTTTATCTTGGTTTTTTCTTGGCTTTTTTTCTTCATATTTCTTGGTATTTTCACTTAGCTTTTCTCTTGATTTTGCCTTTTTTTTTCATGATTTTTCTCGTTTTCCTTTTAATTTTTTCTTGTTTTCTTGTTTTTTCTTTCGTTTTCTTATTTTCTTTTTTCACTTTTTTTAATAAATAAATAAAATTAAATTAAACTAATAAAAATTGATAAAAAAAAAATATACAAATAAAATATATAAAAGAAGAAAAAATATATTTTCAAAAATTGTAATGAAAAATTTGCTTGTTAATTTTTAATTTATATTTTTAAAATATATTTTTTTAGGCAATAGGTAGTGTTTTTTTAGCAGCTGAACAAAAACTAATCTGGATATATGATTTTTTTCCCGACATATTTGAGTTTATTTTAAACAGAACTTTGAAGTATATTTTTTCTCATGACATTTGATTTTTTTTTATTTATTTTTATTAATTTTCATTTATTTTTATTTATCTTTAATAATTTTTATTTATGTTGATTTGTATTTATTTTTATTTTGTTGTTTTTATTAATTTTTATTTAACGGAACAACTGGAGACTAAACTGTCACTTTAAAATTTAATTTACCATGTAAAGTCGTATAATATATTGAAAATTTATAAATTAAAATTGTTATAACTTAAAAAAAAACAAAAGAAATTGGTCATAAATATTTTCTTTTAACTTCTAACCCCCTAACTTTGTTAGTCTTGATAATAGCAAAAAATCTCAAATATCATTTTTATTTTACAATTTTTATTCAAAACTTTTTTTTATAATATCTACCGTTTTTAAATATTCTTAAAAAAACACTTTATTTTCTTGTTTTATGACATTTGCCGGTGCCTGAAAAACAACATTTTTTAAACTGTCGTTTTCAAATACTCTAAAGTGACTTATATCAAAAATTCCTGTATTTTCTCCAAAATTTTGATTTAAAGGTCTATTTGATTGGACTACAACCATTTTTTTTTATTCTGTGTTCGGTCAGTTTTTTTTTGATGTTTACATTGTATTGTATAGCTTTTAAATAATTTTTTATTTTTATTTTTACTCTAATGTTTTGTCTTTCCCACCCAGTAAATGGTGATTACTGTTGGGTAGTATAACAAAATAAATAAATAAATAAATAAATAAATAAATAAATAAATAAATAAATAAATAAATAAATAAATAAATAAATAAATAAATAAATAAATAAATAAATAAATAAATAAATAAATAAATAAATAAATAAATAAATAAATAAATAAATAAATAAATAAATAAATAAATAATGAAAATAACTTTTTTCTAATAAACATTATCAAGTAAATATGATTATTTTACTTCCCAAATAAATAGTAAAATAGAAATAAAATATCTCACCTGACTTGCCTAATTCGCTTTCGCGCGTTTTCGGAATGAATTTCGGAGACCTCTGGTGACGTTGTTGTAGACAATATCCATCCTCCTGCGCATGCTTGTCGACCCAAGGCCACGGACAATCCAATCTGGTACCTGTTTGTGGATTAATTTCCTATAAATAATGAAATGCAGAAGTCACACAAATGAAAAAAAGTTTCAATTCTTATTCTGACAGTTTTGAGTGCCGAATTAAAAAAAAAAAAAAGAGAATTTGTTTAACACGTTGACTGCTAAGCCGAATTTGAATAACATTTAGAATGTGCGATACAGTCATTATTTTTTATCAATGCGTGGAGAATTTTATATATAGAAAAAAGAAAGATAGTTGATATTTTGACCTACTGGATTCGATTCATAATTAGGAACAACTTGAAATTAAACTAGTTACTCCCACAGAAAACCGCAGGACATGACCTTAAGGCTAGGCATAGGAAATTTATTTAACAGGCACACACAACGTTCTTTCAGTGATTGATTAGCCGAAACTACAACAAGGAGAAAAAATTCCTGCCGATAATAGATATACTCTACTCAGACTTGCGCCGTCTATAAGGGCAAAGTCTTGTGGTGCACACCAGCGCCGAGGCGCCGAAAAGCCTCAAAACTCAAAAGTAAAAAAAAGATAAAGTAACAAACAACATCTGATAGTATCTAGTTTAAGTAGTCAAGTCAGGCAACTGGTCAATATGTGTAATACCGCTCAACATATGTGGCAAAAACTTCACAGTGTCTATGAACAACGCACAGAACAACGTCAAGATAGACTCTTTAATCAGTTTTTTGCAATAAGTGAAAAAAATATTTTGATAGCGTCGCTAAACATATTGCTACTCTAGAAAAGCTGTGGGCCGATTTGCAGGATGAAATATAGAAGGAAGATCAGGTAAAACTACCAGAATCCTTATTTCTTAATCGAATACTCAATACAATGCCATCCGAGTATTCTGAGTTCATGAATGCATGGGAATCCAAATACTAACATTGATGATACTGAAAAGATAGCCTTGGTGGTCTCTAACAATAATAATTGCCAAAAAGTCAAATCAAGACCAAAGAAGTTTCGTTTCAGATACTATGGTTGTGGTGAAAATGGCCACATAAAGAAAAATTGCCCAAAGAAGGAAGCATCAAGTAAAAATACTAGTAACATTTTTACTCCTGGTACAGCTTTTATGGGCATTTCGGATCACTTTCAAAATGTTGATGAGAAGGATGTTTGGATTATTAATTCCGGGGCCACACATCACATGATTATGCATAGGGAATGGTTTAGCAGTTTTCAAGACTTTTTATTACCTCAGCACGTAACTGTTGGCAATGGTCAACAGATGAAGGCAATTGGTATGGGCGATATTAAAGTAGAGATGCTGATGAATTATCAGTGATTCCAAAATTATCTGAAGATTGTTTGGTTTGTTCCTAATGTTGGTCGGAATTAATTTTCAATTTCATCAGCCCTTAGTAAAGGGATGACTTCAACTATGGATGAAGAGTACTGTTTTCTGCAAATAAATCGCAAGATAGTAGCATGTGCTAAGAAGCATAATAGTCTCTATTACTTACACATGCGAGTTTTATTTCCTGAGGAAGCAAATTCAGTTATAGAAAACACTCTTCAACTCTGGCATGAACGTCTGGGACATCAGAGTAAAAAGCATATCCAAAAGGTCATAAATGAATTCTATGATGCCTGTTTGTTTGGTAAACAGCATCGTCTTCCTTTTGGTCATTGTCCATTTAGCTTAGAAAATCCAGGAGATCTAATCCATGCTGACGTCTGCCGTTCAATGTCAACTGTGTCTATTGGAGGTGCTCGTTACTTCTTGAATTTTAAAGATGACTTTACCAAGTACCGGGTAATTTATTTTTTAAAGAAAAAATCTGAAGTAAAAGAGAAGCTGGAGTATTTCTTGGCTGAATGCAAGTCGTCAGGACATACGGTCAAAGAAGTTCTTAGTGATGGTGGTCTTGAGTTCAATAACAAAGATGTCAGGCGAATTCTGGGTAAATATGGAGTTGCTCATCGAATGTCTATGTCGTATACACCACAGCAATGTGGATCAGCAGAACGTGAGAATCGCACTATCGTTTAGTCGGCTAGAGCTATGCTTCATGAGAATTTGTGGGCAGAAGCTACTAACAGCGCAGCATATATATTGAACCGTACAGGGCCAACTAAAGATGATCCCCATTTGAACTATGGACAGGTAAAGAACCATCTGTAGATCACTTTAGAATTTTTGGATCTGAATGCTTTGTACACGTACCCAAACAAAAAAGGCAGAAATGGGATAAAAAGAGTATGCAAGGCTATTTTGTTGGGTACTGTGGAAACAAAGAGGGCTACAAAATATGGATTACTCACAAGAATGATGTTATTCAAAGTAGAGACGTTATATTTAAGGAGGAAGAAATAGTAAAAAGTAAATTAAATATAACGTAGTCAAACTTATAACGTAAATGATAATGTAGAGGAAATGAAAAGTCGCCAAAAGATAATGAAATACAAAATTATCATGAAAAAAAGGAAACGACAGAAAGCGAGCATTTCACAACTAGGAGAGAAGGTCTAAGAGATAGATCAAAGCTAAAGCAACCTGTTTGCTTTGATGCATGTGCTATGGTTGCAGAGAGTCATCCTACTGGAGTACCGGAATCATATGAGGAAGCTTTAAAGTCAGAAGACACTTTGGAATGGAAGTCTGCGATGGAGGAAGAAATTAAATCTCTTAAGGATAATGAAACGTGGACTTTGGTTGATCTCCCTCCTGGAAGAAGAACCATTTCAAGTCTTTAGAATTAAAGAAAACATTGACGGTACTATTGCAGGGTATAAAGCTCGTCTAGTTGCACGAGTTTTTTGCAGGAGCAAGGTGTGGATTACGAGGAAACTTGTTCACCAGTAGCAAGATTTGAGACAACAAGATGTTTCTTTGCTACTGTAGCCCTAAGAAAAATGTCTATTCTTCAGTTTGATGTGAAGACAGCTGTCCTAAATGCTTTTCTTGATGATGAAATTTATATGCAACAGCCCAAAGGATATCAGGAAGAAAGTAACAGAGTTTGTAAGCTTTTAAAAAGTCTTTATGGTCTCAAGCAAGATCCACGTTGCTGGAATCGTAGATTTTCAGACTTTTTAAAAACTTTAGATTTAATACAAAGTGTAGCAGATCCTTGTCTATACTGCTCAAATAAGGATCCCAAAATTTTACTCGTCTTGTATGTCGATAATGGGTTGATTACTGGTGAAAATGACATGGTTGTCAATGAAATTTTTAATGTCATGAAAAGTGAATTTCAAATGACGAAAGAAATTAGCAGATCTTTTCTGGGAATGCTTATTTTGCAAACTGAAAACGGTATATTCATTCATCAAAAGAATTTTGCAGAAATTCAAGATGAATAAGTCGTTTCCAGTCTCGACACCGTTCAAAAAAATGTAATGCTGTGGTGGAAGGCGAAGATTTAGGTGAAAGTACCATTTTGGAATTTATTTTGAGTTTGGATCAGAAAATTTAGAAGTTTTCAGTGATGCCGATTACGGTGGAGATCTCCAAACCAGAAGGTCTACTTCTGGAGTAATCTGTAAATTAGCTAATGGGACAGTTATATGGTCAAGTCAAAAACAACGTTCTGTGGCCTTATCAACAACAGAGGCAGAATTTGTTGCCAGTTGCGAAGCTGCAAGAGAAATCGTTTGGCTTCATAAACTTCTTTATGAGCTACTTTCCTGTAAATTGCCAACTCCTGTACTGAAAGTTGACAATGCTGGTACTGTGAAGCTAGTCAAGAATCCCGAATTTCATAAACGCACTAAACACATTGATATTCGTTACAATTTCATTAGAGAAAAGTTTGCTGAAGGTTATTTCTTCATAGAACACATTCCTGGAGAAGAACAAGTAGCATACTTGTTATATTTATCTAAAATACCTTCATTATTATTTAAAAGAATAATAGAATCGATCTTACTTAATGTATATTTGTAAGTTTATTATTTATAAGTAAATTAACATTTAGTTTAAGTCCTGGTTATATTTTCTATATTTTTTTGCTCTTTTTCAAAGATATAAAATCAATAATGTCAACGTTTTATAATATATGTTTGCAAATAAAAATGTTTTACAATAATTTACACCGACATCGCTATAACGGTAACCATTATAGCAATTTCAGTTAACACACCACACAATAATATAGACTTGATAATTTCGGGTAGGTTTAATCCCAAGATTAAGTACACATCTCCAGTGTGGAATAGAAAGCCGTGGATTTGAAGAGAAGCATTCACTAGCCTCGGAGAAGTTTATGTAATGATGAAAACAACTAAACGCATCATTTCATTAATGCTTTCCACCGAGAAGAGCCCTTAGGTGGTTTTCCATCGGAGAACGAGAAAATACAGCGCTGGGAAAATTGAAAATCAAATATGAAAAGCGCAGGTTAAATGCCAATCCAAAAAATACGGACTGATGACTAATTAGTCTACCTTTATTTAGTATGGGGTGGTATTATTAAAATGCAGTTATTTTTTATCGCAAGGGTGGCTCCAAGGAGATTAAAATGTCACCCCTATAGATCAAGGTTGTACTTCATCTTTATTAATTTCCCAAGAGAACTAGATATATGATTTTTATTTTAACCTGTAGAAGAGAATTGATACCTAAATATTTAAACTATTAGGTGATGGATTATAATAATTCTATAATATTATTTACGTAAAAAATCAATGTCTTTATATTTCTAAGAAAACATTAATTAATACATTTATTTAGAAATTTAGAAGAAAATTAATAGTAAAATATTAGTTATTTCTGCTCAAAATCAGCCAATAACACATTATTATAGTAAAAATGTAGTATAAGTGAAGATAATACGTTACAATGTAAAGATGTAGATGATATTTTGGAAAATAAGTATATGCAGAGAAAAACCTGACTTTTCTGTCATAAGATGACGTTTTTAATAGTAAATAACATGAAAACAAGATAAAATTTATCAAAATTTTTGTTGGAAATACATCCAACATATTTTATTAATACATCAAGCTAACCCAACAAATCGATCAATGAATTAATAATCAGACAATTTTTTCTTTAATATTAATAATTC